TTCGTTTTCTTTTGGAACCACTTCGTTAAAATGCTTACTCCTATACTATGCTTTCGGGCCACCCTGTCGTCTAGTTTCCTTCTCCACTTCCAAGTTTCCACCCAGTGGGCTTCTTCCATCCAGGACTTCCGGTCCCCCCCCAAGGTCCCCTCCGCTGATTCTTTTTTGGCGCCGCACTTGCCGCGTCCCGCGTCTCGGTCCGAGCCACGTGCCGGGCTGGACGCCTCAGGTGTTGCCGGAGCTTTGGGACCTGGTGGATGATCAGAATGCCTCGCAGCGGGTCTGGACGCGTTTGTCCACTGAGGGGAAGCCGCGGGCCATCTGAGCGGCTTCCGCGGCGCCACCAACCCCGCGCTGAGCGGACTCCGGAGCATGAGATCGGGGCAAGGTGTGAGGGTTGGAGGTGTGGAGAGGTGATAGAGATAGATACATGGAGGAGGTAGAGAGTGAGAGAGGGAGAGAGAGAGATGATAGGTAGCCCAGTTGCCTGGTTGGTAGGGTGTAGGCTGGGGCGCGGAAAGGTTGGCATCCCAAGATTGTGGACGGCTGGATGAGAATTCAGTGTAAAGAAAACACCGACAATTTAATATGATAGAGATGATGGAAATGATAGAGAGGGAGAGAGAGAGAGAGAGAGAGAGAGAGAGAGAGAAAAAAACAGAGAAACACACACTTATACTGATTTGGTTGCGGTTTGCCACACGCCAGCTCAAAGCGACAAAATCCCGCAACCTCCAAGCTCAAACGTCAAGCTCAAACTCAAACCAAAGTGCGTGACTGCCGATGGTGAACAGATGCAATGGCTGGTCAGCTTGTTCTAGTTACAACGGGACCAAATGGGAAGTTCCAAGTCAGAACATGCAGGTACAAGTGGTTGATCAGACCACTCATCCACCGAAATGCCATAGCTTCGTTGGACTGGATAGGCAAATCGGCGCCAGTCCCCCTGCTTTAAAGTCAAAATCCAAAACAAAACATTCCAAAAGGAACCTTCTGACTCCAAAGGTTACACACACACACACACACACGCACACGCACACACACACACACACAGATGCTGGCCAAATCACGTGTCAGAAACTCCCATAGCTCCCACAAAAAATCCCTTTAACAAATTACCTTTGCTTGAAGATAGATCTTAAAATTTAGAAGGATCAACCCCGAGGCCCTAGATGGGACGACCTTTGTTCATCGAAAAAGTGTGTTTCATATGAGTTCTTGTTTGGGAAAGTATGGGGACCTTGCTTCAGCTCATTAAGAATAGAGGAATTGTTCGTGTGCCCCAGACCGAAGCTCAGGAGTGGTTTTTTATACTTTCATCGCTTCACACATTTAACAGGTTCAGCCGGATGAGGCATGGCCGGTGGGTCAAAAGAACCACTTCCAAGGATTCTTCGGCGCAACATCATCCCCTCGTTGGAGTATGGCTCACCAACAATCCATTACGGACATTGACCCCTAAAACATCTTAAATCCACCCAAACGTAAAGTTGGGAGGACCACCCCAATGTGTTGAGATGGGACTGAAAGATCTTAAAGGCTTGACCAACCTCAATGCCATGGATTGTTTGGGACGCTATTTGCGTTGCTTGCCTCGCTCTGTAAGTTGGCACAGCCGCCGCGCGACTTGTGCGACCCACTGGCACGTCCGTCTGGCTTGAAGAGAGGGGCTCGAAGAGGCACATCGAGACAGGCGTAGATAACACTTGTTTGAAGGCACTTCTGGGTTTCTTTTGGGGCGGTTTGGAGTTCCAAAATCCGCCCAGCAGTCGCCTGTCTTCGCATGTTTGGGCAGGGAGCAGGTTCTCGACCGTCTTGAGACCCATTCAACCTTTCAGCATTTCCTCTCAGAGTCCGGCCTTGAGGGTTGTATACAGATCAGGGCCTTGCTGATTTCCCTCTTTTGGGGAAAGTGGAGGCCCTGCCGCGCCGTCCAAAGATGACGGAAGCCGGGCCGTGCCGGAACCGGGACGCCCGGCAGCGACGGTCAAAGACAAGGGTGCCAGGACATCGGGACCGGGGTGGTGGGGTGCCAGCCGACGACCCATCGACCGCCACTGCCATCTTGGCCCTCAACAGGCAGGAATTAACGGAATTGGTTGGGCGCGGGGTGGGCTTCGGCCAATCTTTAGCATCTTCAAACTCAGTTCTGAGCACACGCCATGGGCCAAGTGCCACCAATCCGCGTACGTCCCACGCACCGGGCGACCGAGCCATGTCATGGTTGGACGCCTTGGTCTCCCTCCACCACCGGCTGCTGCCGGACCTCCGCCGCACGCCCGGCCTCATCCGGGACGTCTCGGCCGCCGACGGGTGGCGCTGCGGTGTGCGGCTGCTGGAGGCCTTGCAGCGTCAGCGGCAGAGGAGGGATGTGGTGATGGTGAACAGCGCGGCGGGCGCGTGTGGGAAGGCGCGGTGTAGGCATTGTGGGAGAGGGGGGGCGTGTGAGTCGCGGGGGAGGTTCCAAACGTGGAAGTGGCGCAAAATGACGTAAAAACATCAAGCAATGATTTTTGCATGTGGAGATAAACTGACTTCTCACGGCCTCGTGTGACTGAAGTACGATAAGTACGGCGCTTGTAAGACCAGTTGCCCACCTGGCTAACAGGGGTCCTCCTTGTCTTGTATCCATGATATTTGGGATTTACCCTGCCGCCTGCCAAAGCCTGCTCAAAGATCTTCCAAAGAAAGACTTCCTCTGACTCTCTCTCGGTCGATGCTTCTTCACGGTTTCGCCCCTCTCTCTCCGCCCGCTCGGGCCGCGCGCGCCCAGGCGGGCGCCTGGAGCGCGGCGCTACAGCAGATGCAGCAGGCGCAAGAGGCTGCACTCCAAGGCGACCTGGTAAGCTGCAATGTCCTCATCAGCGCGCATGGCTCGCGGGTGGATGCTGGGACCGAAGAATTTGTACGTCAGGGATGGAGATGGGCTGGACGGGGTGCGAGAGTTTCGAGTGTCCAAAGAGGGCCAAAAAAGGACCAGGTCGTGGAATTAGTGTGGGTGTACCATGGTCGCATTTGCACAAAGGCGTGTTAGCCAATTGGATGCCTCAGAACTGGACCCTGTCGGCACCCCTGCCGCTTTTGAACCTGCATGGCCTTCTTTTCGAGTGCATCAAGCTATAGTTCCAATTGATACTGGACTCCTCCAGCTAGCTGGAGAGAAGCTGGTGACCCGTCGGAACCTGGTGCGTTTGGTGGAAAAGGCTCGTTTTTGGTCACGTTCGCTCCTTTGACGGTCTACTTGATGGTCTACCGGGAATCAAGCACCTCCCTTATTGCGTCACTGGGGTGAGTTTTCAGAGTTTATTCTTTTTTTTGGCGTGTTTTTTCAGGGTTTATTCTTTTGCTTCGGGATGGTTATTCATTCCCAACCACCCTCACTGTGGTTTTCACCTGTGTCGCTAGGAGAAGCTCTCCTCAGCCTGGCGCGCGGCCACCCAACAGCTTTGGGCCGTGAAGGCCGCCGACGTGTGGTCCTACAACGCGGCGGCCAGCGCGTCGAGCAAGGCACAGCAGTGGCAGAGGGCTTGGAGGCTCCTGGGTTTTGGTCGGAGCTCTGCCCTTCAGCCGGATGCGTCTTGGTGTGGGTGAACGGTGCGGCAGTTTGCGGATGAAGTTGGTAGAGGCATGCTGAGATAAGGACTGTGCAAAAAGGACCTACTAAAATTTACACCCCCCATCCGCTTTCCAACCTTGCAGCTCCATGCAGTTCTTCAATGGATCGGTCAAAGGGACACCCCACCCAAAATATTGGTTGGTAGCTCCCCGGAACTATGGGTTTCCTGTAGATCTTCCCTTTCAACTGGGACTTGACCTGCTGACCCCGCCTGCGGAACGTCCGCTGGCCGAGGTCATCAGCTACAGCTCCTCGCTGAGCTCGGCGACGCCCTGGCGCCTGGCCTTGGACCTGCTCCCACCGCTGCGGCGCGCCGCGGTGCGCGGAGACGGTGCATGGCAGAACCAGGTGATGGTCGCCGTGGGCGAGTCCGGCGCGTGGCGCTCGGCCGTGCAGCTGTGGGAGGCCAGGGCCTGACAGGAGGGAGGGGAGGTTCATAAGGGGCACGAAGAGGTCAAGGTTGAAAGAAGGGCGAAGGGGGGAAAACGCAGTACAGCTGATGAAGGTTGACACTGGAGTTCAGGTGACGTGGTGGATGGAGAAAACTCTTGAACATGCACGGACCGCCTACCGTAACTCAGCAACTCTTGGTGCACTCCAGCCCAACATTGTAAGGAGAGCTGGAGGTCCCTCAAACTCGCCTGGCCGCCTTGCGACACCATTTCTCCCAAAGAACTGGTCGCCGACGGTCACTTCGCTTGAGCACCCACTCGAGTTCGCTTCCTTGCGACCTTTTTACCGCTCGTCTTTTTTCTGCTCAACGGCGCGTCCACCTCTTCCTACTTACCCGATTATGTATCCGACTCTGGGGAAAACCTCCTGGTTCTTTGGGGATCGGCTCCTTTTCGACTCCGTCGGCTCCTCTGGAGCGCTGCCGGCGCCTGACTTCGGCTCCCAAGCTTAATTAGGCCTCCGGTGCTGGGAACCTTCAAACCTTCACCTCGCTCCTGGCAGCTTTGCCGCCCTCCACCTGGCCAGCGGCCCTCGCCGCGCACAGCGCCGCGCACGGCAGCTGGGCCCTCGCCGGTGGCGGAGGGGAAAGGGCCGTGAGCTCCAATGCGGCGGTCGGCGTGTGTGGCTCGGAGCAGGGTGTGGGGTGTGGTTGAAGGGGTGGGAAGGCCCCAGGAGAAGTCCAATGCCTTACTTTGTCTTAATCACCAAACTCATATCAAGGACGACAAAGCCGGCGGTTCGTTGGGGCCCCGCCAAAACCGTATGATTAACATGTATACCATATGATATACACATATAATGCAATATGTATGAATATGCCTATCCGTTGATATATCAATACATTTGTTGGGGGGTAGCCACCTCCACCCACCGCATCAAATGAACAGATGAGAACGACTCGTTGGACCGAACACCCCGCCGACGTCCGAAAGCGGTGGCGGCGGGGCGGTGGCTTTTGTTCGCCCCCCCCAAAACACAAGCGGAATCGGCGGCTTATCGCGGTGCATGAAGGAACGAGGGCTTAGTCTAGATCCATTTGGTGGAAGCAGTGGAAGTTGCAGTTTTGGGCTGGCTGGCTCCAAATAGCAGGTTTTGGTGGAATCTCCTCGCTTGTAGGCTCAGCCGGTTCTGGTGGACCTCCAACCAACTCTTCGTAGGCCCTAATAGGCCCTACATCACGGGCCCTTTTGAACATTTCTCTGGATCACAACCCCTCGTGGTGTGCGCGGTCACCTGAACTCTTGTTTCGCGCCACCTTTCCACCACTGTTCAAGATCCACTCCAAAAAGAGCATTCTTTGCAACGTCGATCTGGAATCTGCTCAAACCCAATGCTACAGTCCTCTTCCCGCATTCCTCCCCCGCGTTCCCCCCGGAAAAGCAGCTCTTCCCACGCCCTGCGCCCAGGCACGCGGGCCGGCCAGTGGCTGGCGGCGCTCACAGCTGCTGCTGCGCTCCAGGCCGGTGCGCTTGCAACGCAGATGGCCGCTGAGAGTGAGATTGTGCGCGCTCAGACTGCCCGGCATTTTTTTTCCTCCAGGCTCTGTTCATATCGGTGTGAGGTGGTTCCTTAACTGCCTTAACTAAAGCTAATGAACCATATGAACCCCTTAAGGCTTCATACCTCTAGTCTTTGAGACACCCAAACAGGGCCGAACACCGAGCGGTTCGGAAAGGTCTTCCATCATCTTCTCCCGTGTCCGCTTGACACGTGGACCCAAGGCAACAGACTCATGTCTTGATGCTGTTGCTCAGGCACATCCAACGAAGCAGGGCTCAGCCCTGACATCAACCATAGCCATGACATCTCTCCGGTACAACTGGTGTTAGTCCAACCACGGACCGTCACAAAGCCTGCAAACTAGAACTTTGCTCATGCAAACTGATGTTAGTCCACCACTGGTTCCAAGACTCTAAGCACGTTCTGTTTTCGATCTGTCTCCCGACTTTTTCCTGATTCTTTGCTTGCCAAGACGTGGCGTTCGGCAGAACCTCAGCTCCCTTCACCGAGGTTCTTGGTGCCTGTGGCACCCGTTGGCGCTGGGCGCTCTCCTACTCCGCACGCCACGACACACCTCGCGCGTTCCCAGCGGGTGCATGTGGGCGTGCGGGGTGCTGGGAGGCGCGCCGCAGCAGGGGAGGTGTCCGGTCGGTTTCGAAGACTTGGGGCAGAAAGCTTGAGCTTGAGGATCCGAGGTTCCTTGAGGTGACTGGTTGGACTGGTAGAAGATGGGTATGCACATTGTGGGTTTGTTCCTGGATGTTCCTAGCACTTGCCTTCGGGTCTTCTGAAATCGAGTGGTGCCTTCCTTCAACCTCGAGGATGTGTGGGTGCACTCTTCCCAAAACGTTCGATCAACCAATAACTGTCGATCTGGACCTCACCCACACCCATGCATGGGGTGCCGAATGCCCGGATCAGGTGGCTGAGGCCTTGCTTCGAGGAGACGCCTGGAACGTGGCGTTGGCCGCCTGGGCTCAGCATGGCTTATGGCGTCGCAGCCTGTGGCGCTGGCAGGACACCGATGCGGTGGGGCGCCGCACCGTGCTGCTGGCCGCAGAGAAGAGCCAGGTGCCCTCTGGGAGAGACTTCTGTTATAGAAGTTGGAAGATGGGGGTTGGATTAGAGCATCAGAATTAAAGTTCAAGAAGTGGCTCCAACTCCACATCTTGGGTGGAGATCGATCCTGTCAAATCTGGGCAAAGCCCTATACGACCGTCGCGGCAGATATACACTCGCCTGCCAGGAGTGGTCCTGGGTGCTCCACCTGCTGCATCTGCTGGGTCTGGAGGCCAACCTCGTGGCCCGCAACACGGCGCTGAGCGCCGTCGCGGCGCCGTCGGCCGCGCGCGGACGCTGGCGCCAGGCGGTGGAGGCCTTTGCAGCGTGTGGGGCCGAGGCAGACGCTCGGTGCGAGGGGTGCCGGGTGAGGAGAAGGGGTGAAAAGGAAGACCCACCACGGCAAAGACCTGTCCAAGACCATCCACACATGGGGAACATGGAGCCAAAACAAGCCGATGAGGCCGATGGCCGTAGCCGTAACCCTTGATTGGAATCGGCTCTGTTGAACCACGGCGCCTTAGACATTTTTGTTGAAGTCTTTTTCCATGGTTTCGATGGAGGACCGCCGGTGATAGACGGGTTGGGGTTTTGGGAGCCAGGGCGTCCTCAAAGCCGAGGACAGCATCAGCTTCAATGCATTGCTGCGAGCCTTTGAGAGTGGCATGGGGGCCCTTGCCTGGCATCAAGGGCTCCAACTGCTGAGAGCCTTCCAGGTGCCGAAATGGGATGGTGGTCCGAAAAACGAGACACAGACTAACGTTGGCGTGAGTGGCCTCGTGGTGAGTAAAGAACCCCCGTGTTTATACACCCCCCACACCACCCTGGAACGCTTATATATACCCCTGAGTCCGTTCTGAGGCCTCGCACTTGGAGCCACGGGTGATCACCTTCAGTGCCATGGTGGCGGGCTGCCAGCAGGCGATGCAGTGGGGGCCGCCCAGCCCTCCAGCCTGTGCGTGGTCTTCTCTTTTTCTCCACCCAGTCTGAAGGGAAGGGACGGCAGAAGTGCGGGACAACTGGGGAGAGACTTGTTGAAGCGATGTGGGGTAGCTGGAAGGTGGTCTAAGTCACCAAGGTGCATCGACCGATTGCGCTTCAGTCACCTCCATGCGGGGGAGGGGTGCCCAACCGCAGCAGGATCAGCACATTTGTTCCGCTCCCCGCTTCACCCTTCCAAGCCCTTCACCCTTCCAAGCCTGCTTCAATTCGTCTCAGGTGGCGCTGGGCCCTCCGTTTGGAGGAGGAACTCATAGGCGACGCTGGCGGTCGTTTGGGAACGCTGTTTGGCTCGAACTACATCCTTTGAGAGTGGGACCATGAGAATCACCAAAAGATACGGCAAGTGGCAAGAGTCAAGAGTCAAACATGTCCAGCCTCCCAGATCTTCACCTGGTGTGCTTTCTGCCTGCCTGCGGCAAGAAGCCAGGCTCAGCGCTGCAGCCCAGTGTGGTCACTGCCGAGAGAGCGTTGGCTGCAGTGGAGGCTGATGTGGGCATTCGCTGCAGATGGCTTCATTCAACCATCATGGAAGTGGACATGAGCCAGGAAACAATCTATCACAGCAAAAACCTTGTCAGAGATAAGACCCGTGCTTTGTTACACCGCACGGCTGGGACTGTGAGGCTGGCGGGCGGTCGATGTCACTGCTGCAGCGTTTGCAGTGCCTGGAGGGGCAGAATCTGCGGAATTTGGAGGTGCGAAAAGAGGAGATGTTTCGATTCGATCCATTGCAGTGCTTTTTTTGGGGGGGCCGGGTGTTTAGTCTTTACTTGGTAGTCTCAAACCCCAAATTCTGTGTGGGGAGAGCAGAGAGTATCCATTGAGTCGAGGCCATTTCGATGATTTGGGCGGAAAGCATGCGAGCAAGGTTCTGGGACGTCTTGGCTTTGCCTGATAGATGAGAATTAGGGGAAGTGCGGGTGACCCGCTACTTTCAACATCTTTCAACCATGGCAAGCAGGCACAACCCCAAGCAGATCCGTTCTGCTGATTGTTTTGTATTGTTGCTGTCAGCTTGGGCGCCTCAACTTCCTGTGGGTCCCAAACAGTTTGGGTCCGAAACCACTTGAACGCCTAAAGCCCTGCCCGAAAGCTTGGCCACGCGTTGCCAAACCTTCTTTTCCTTCCGGCTCGAGCGGGCCTCATGCAGTTACTGTGCTTTGAGGTGCTTCTTGCATCTGTCAGGTTCTTCCCAGTGAGCGAGCTTGAGATCTCATTTGAAGTTGGATCAAACTGAATTACTGTAGGCCTGAAGAAGGCCACGACCACATGAGAAATGTGCCCCAGTCCTCCCAATCTTTTAAAGTGCTTCTTCGGCAGGCCTGATGTCGGGAACTGTGCAACAAAGAAGTTAGACTCTTGCTTTACCAAGACCACCCCATCTGGATTGCAAAGCCTCTTCACCTGGGGGGTTGAGAGATCATCCAGCGTCTACATCCCATTGGTCTAGTATTTGGGCTATCGGCCCGTGCCCGGAGGCACAGCGGTGCCGGTGCGAGCTGAGGGGATGATCGAGTGGACGGGTGTCGGCCCCATGGATTGAAGCCGAGAGGGAGAAAGAACAGGTGGAAAATTCAGGTGAGGCGTTTGGTTTTCTGGCAAGATGTGGACGGTGAAGTCATTGTTTCACAACTTGGCTCCAGGATGTCCTTAGTTTCGCATTCAAGTTCCTTTTGTGACCAAAAATGGTTGCCAGAACTCCTAGGATATGGTAGGGACACCGGCGGTTTTCCCGCACGCGGACGTTTGCGAAGTGCTGGGATAGGGGTCGAGTTCTGGCTTGCCCCAAACTGCGTTGCTTTCATCACCATTAGCATTTTGGTGCACAAGGATGTTGCTCGTTGACTGATGTTGCTGGTTGAAAGCCTCCAAGAAGCAGCTTTTGATCATTGGAGGCCCCAGTTTCGAGAAAAACCCAGGAGTCTCAGTGGTCCATCTCTGGTCCATGATTCCAGGCGTGACACCGAGCAATTGCTCACTCGGTTGGCGGATCGGCTTGACGGACCAAATTGAAGATGGTACATGGCAAAGAACATGATCCTTGTTGGTACTCCCAAGGAATTCAATTGCCGGAAATCCAGTACATGTATAGTAATTGGATCCTTTTGATCAAATCCTGAGCTAGACCTCATGCGAAGTCAGATTAAAACATGACGGGCTCCTCACAGACTGGCCAGCCCAACTTCAGTTCGTTACACGGCAGTCAAATGAGCTGCCCAAAGGTGAGTTGAGGCAGCACACCTCGACTTCATGACTTCTTGACTACCTGGGTTGTCCAGACATTCAGCCTTCTGGAGCGGTCTCGAAAACGGATGGGTGCTGAAGCACCGACAGTGGCAGCTAATCCAGAGAGCTTTACACCCGACGTCTTCGCAGGTGTTGGGACCCGAATCTTCCATGTGGAATCTTGGGGAATTCCAGACAATCCTTGAAGTCCACCTTTGAAACCCAGCATGGCAAGAGGCCCCCTTTGCACTCCCACAGAAGGGCCGGGACACTCATGCTGTGCGACTGAAACTCGTGCCATGGGTTGAGATGTCGAAGAGCAGCTGGCAGAGGGCTCTGGCGGAGCTGGAGGTCACACTGACGTACTGAAGAAAGAAAGAACAAAAGAAACAAAGGAGGAACACGAAAAGAAGTACGTAAGGAAAAGAAGAGGAATTAAAGCAGAAAGAACGAGAGGACACGAACGGCAACGCAAGGACCAGAAACGAAGAAAGCCGACATGTACAGAAAAGACAGTGCAATGAAACAAAAACAAACAGAAACGGAACTAAACAAGACAGGACTCGGATCAGACAGGAATGACTTTGACAGGACTCCAGGGGGGTCAGCCCGTCCAGTCTGAAACGCCGGTTTTGTCCTCTGCCTCTGCCTGGAGGCGTCGGAGGCCACGTTGCGGACTTGCAACCAAGCTGCTCGGCCCGACCAGCCGTGGAACTCCAAGCAACGGAGATCTGGACACCAAACAGATTGGACCAGCAGATGGTAGAGGGAGGGACATCATGAATCAATGAATCTTCCAAAGGGTCATGTTCCACCTCCACGTGGTTGGACGAAGGATCAAGTTCTCTTTTTTGAGGTAGCTTTGGCATGGCTTGTGCAAACCAAGAGCTGCGATATCCGAAGGTTGCCCATGCTCCCCCGCTGCTGAAAACACCGCTGATGCTTCGAGACGAGCCCAAGCACACGACCTCGCGTGATCGATTTGCCTATAATAGATGATATAGACCCCCAAATAATAGAAAAGTAGATCCCCACTAGAAATGTATTGGAAACCGTTTCTATATGTTTCTATTTATTTGCCTAGGCGATCGCAAGCTCTGCCTGGCATGGAGCCTTGTTGCTCCTGAACCACATGCTGGAACGACGGGTGGGCAACGTGGTGAGCTGCAACAGCGGCATGGGCGCTTGTGCGACCTGGTCGCCGGGGCTGTGCGAGCGGGTGTCTTTCTGCGTCGGTGCAGCGGTTTCGGTGCTGGGTCGGCTGCAGCGTTTGAAGTTGACTGGCAGAAGTCTATATACAAGCTTCCCTGTGTAATGATCCATATGCCCCCCTGGAAGACGAACACTCCCCTACCAACAGGGAGTTTTCGAGTTCCGTGTTCGTGATTCAGAGTGTAGATTCAGTGCGGGTTGGGGTTCTCTCTTTTTCACGCCCATGATGCGCCACACCCAAGATGCGATTGATTTGCCAAGCACCCTCGTTGGCCGAAGGTGAAGTCTTCATACTGGCGACAAGCTTTGCTGCTTCTGAGGCATGGTCTGGTATTGCGCCATTTTGAGCCCCAGCGCCTAGCTAAATTTCAAGCAAAGAGTCTGGACTTGATCGGTGGGAGGGGGGCCCAGCTTCATGCAGCAGAATGTGAAAACGACTTCGCCGACGCAGCCTTGCAGCTTTTTGGAGTCTTCAAGGGTTTCATGATTTCCTCCTTCTTCCACTGTTGACAAGCGTGCAGAAAGTCGCACGAAGCACAGGCCGCAGGTGTCCTGACTGCGTTCGACTGCGCACGCCCGCCAGGCGCTTCCGCGGCGGCACGCGACGCCTGCAGCGTGACGGCGTCACCCAGAAGCAAGCTGCCCAGGCGCTGAAGCGTGGTGCGGAGGCCTCGGGCCAAGAGCACTGGCCGGAGGCGAGGGCACTGGGAAAGGGCGAGGTGGGGCGACCCAAGGGCCATGCGATCTGGTGGGCGGGTTCCTATAGCACAGGACCCTTGTACCCTGCCCCCTGGACGATATGAAGCTTTGTGTTACAGCAGCGCCCTCTCGCCTGGGGGCACACGAGAAGGCCATGAGAGAAGGGAGACCAGAGCAGTTCATCGAACACCTGCAGGCCTGAAGCATGAACACCAAGAAAGGCGACCGAAGTGATCCCATCTGCTGTATCATGAGCGCTCTTTTCACAGCCGATGCCACGGGGAAGGGTCTGGGCCCCTTCTTGGATCTGCGAGGAGTTCGTCATCAGCACGCCCACCAGCTCACTTTTTCACTTGGACGTGGGGTCACCAGCGCACCTGGATTTCACCTCAAACCTGCAGAAAAAAACCACCCATCCATCCATCCCTCCCGCCTCATCCCTGGACCGTCCTTGAACGATCCCTCCACCGGTCCCTCCACCAGCGTCCAGGCCTTGGGGCAGCTGTCAGAGGTGGCGACGCGCGGCCTCGAGATGGACGTGAAGTCCTTCGGTCTGGCGTCCCCGTGGCGAAAGGTAAGAAGAGTGAGGTCAAGGATCTTTGGTTCAGATGCGACTGGGGGGGGGGAAATGACCTGAAAAGCTAGACTGAGTTGAGTGAGGTTGGAAGAAGCACAGTCCCAAAACATGGGTTCTAGGGGCAGCAGGTCTGGAGGCTGTTGAAGTGGAGCCAGGGCAAAGCATTTGAAATCATGGAATCCATCTCCGAACCAGACCAGAGAGCCTTTCCGTGGCTGTTTCTGTTGTTTCTGTAGTGACTTGACTAGTGAAAGCCTTGGCAACCGTTTTTTCCCTTAACAACTCCGAAAGATTTCTCATAGACCTTTGGAGTGGTGGTTTCAGATCAGAACCAAGCAATATCAAGCATTCACCTGGTTCCAACACGTTGACCGCAGCTGCAGCTGCATGCGGGAAACCTGGCGTTTGTTGGCGCCCTAAGGTTGTCCTTATGGCAGTCCGCAGGGCGCTGGCCGGATGCTCAAAATATGCTCCGACAGATGACAAGTGCAAAGGTGGGGAGCTGGAGGATCTTTCTGGGTCAGCAATCAGTTTTTTAAATGTCGTTTAGGCACGCCCTAAAGGAGATCCATCTCGTTTTCAGTTGGACCTGGATGTGTTTGACGCATCTTGCTCCTCTTCAAGTTCCGCATGGTCAGGTGCAGGTGGACTGCCGTGCCTACTCAGCTGCCATGGGAGGCGCCCCATGGACCAAGTCCGCTGCACTTCTGCAGGACTTGCAGTGGCAATTGGAGGCGCTTGGGCAGAACATGGCAGAACAAGTGCTGAAAGTTTGCGAGAAATGCAAGATACACCCTCAAAACATGTGACATGGTCTAGGTTCTTGAGGTTCTGCGACATTGGCCATTTCTTCCATCACCACCTGCTGTTTGTTCCCGTTCGTGCGAGTTGCGCCGGAGGCAGATGAGTTCGTGTACAACACCGTGATGTCTTCCTCTCCCTGGAAGAAGGCCAGACGGATCCTGCAACTGCAGCAGCTGAGACTTCAGGCTGCTGGGCGGCTATGCTCGGGGGAGCTTCAGATATGTTTTGTACATTAATATACAGCCACCCTGGAGCAGATGCACCTGGAAGACTTCAAAGCCATTACGTGAGAATGATCATAGGTCCGCAGGAGGTTCGCAAAACATTGAAACCTGCTGGAAATCCTAAGCCTTTGATTGCGGTTTGTGGAGGTCGCTTCGGATCACTTTGTGGGGCTCGAAATGCTCACCAGTTTGACGTAGCCGTAGCCCATTTGTGCAAGTGGTCTCCCTGAAGATGAGGCTCCGCATCCTCACACACAAAGCATTCCAAGATCCTGTTAGGACCACTTGAGCTCCCTATCAACGCCCAGGCCAGCATCATTTCCTACAACGCTGGACTGGTTACCTCGCCCTGGCCGGAAGCCCTGGAAGCTTTGCAGCGGGCCAAGACTGAGGAGCTCCCCATGACCAAAACCTCGTTCGGCGCGCTCCTCGCGCAGAGCCGCCACCATGGCTACTGGCCCCGCGCTCTGTGGCTGCTGTCCTCCGCGCAGCGCCAGAGGGTCGCGCTGGAGGGCGGTGTGGCCGAATGCAACGTGGCGGCCGCGCAGCTGGACGCGGGTGGGTGGAAGGAGGTCCTCCACTTCCTGTCGGCTTCGGCGTCGTTGGACCACCAGAGGAGGGGGCCCGGTGTGGGGTTGAAGACCATGGCCATGAAGGCCTTCTCGGAAGGACATGCGTGGCCTCGAAGCTTGGAGGTCTTTGATGAAACGAACGACCGGGATGTGGTGATGCTCAATGCACTGGTCACGTGTTATGCCCAGGTGGCTCTTTGGGAGAAGGCGCTGCAGGTGCTGGGAAGTGTGCTCTGCTGGTCGCTGCGCGCCACGGTGGTCACCTTCAACGCCGCGGTGTCGGCCTGCGCGGCGGCGCGCGAATGGCAGAAGGCTTTGGGGCTTTGGAGCCCGATGCTTCAGCAAGACGTCCGCCCTGACGATGTGACCCTGAACAGCTTCCTCTTGGCCGCGCAGGGGGTTGACGCGGACGAGTGGAGCTTGGTGCTTCAACTCTTGAGCGCTTTCTCTTTGGCCACCTGTCAGTTGAATGTGATCTCCTACAGCACCGCCATCACCGCCTGCCCAGCCGCCCGCTGGCCACTGGCCCTTTCGCTGGTGCACCAGGCCGCCACGCGGGGCGTGGGCGGCGGCGGCGTGGCCGGCACGGCCGTGACGACGCTGGGCCGGGCGGCGGTGTGGCGGCGAGCCGTGCAGCTGGCAGAGGGCGAGAGCTGTGATGCGGTGATGTTGGCATGTGCCAGGGCGGTGGAAACCGCTGGGAGCAAAAGAGGTCGTGATGGTCCTTTCTCTTTTCTTGTTTTGTGAACGCACTTACAGCATAATGCAGTACATAGTTTGTGATACAATATCTTGTGGTGCTCGTAGATGTGTGACCAAGTCTTTCTCTCGTCCATCGGACTGGCTCAGAGACCTTTTTGCCGTCCAAGTTCTCCTCCACAGCCTCTTCGCTCTTTTTGTTGCTCGCCTGACGCCATGGGGAACGCGTGCTCCAATGGGTGCTTCGCCATGCTCGGTGGCAATCCCAAGGCGGCCGAGCTGCGCGCATGCAAAGAAGAGACTGGTCAGAAGAATGCATCAACTCTACAGGTCAGAAACGCACCTCATGGGAAAACGGGAGTTGGTGATACAAAAGCACTGCTCAATGATGTAAGGGACCACGCTTTATTAGGTCAGACTGGACCTGTAAGGCAACTTTCCTTCACATTTTTGGGGAGGAGTGTGCATACGCACCGAAGAGCATAAGATCTTTTAAGTGTGCGTGTGTGTGTGTGTGTGTGTCGGTTCAATATCTTGCGGCCAAGGAGATTAAGACGCTGATTGAGACCCGGATGCTTGGCGAAGCACTATGAAGTGATGTGATGATGCAGATATGACTCAGATAGAGAGCAACTCTCGAGAGGCCGTGGAGTCCAAACACGTCCCAGGAACTGCCATCCGATTTTGGTGCGTTTGGCCTGGCACGACAGCGGCACCTATGACCAGCGCATCAAGGATTGGCCTCAACGGGGTGGTGCCAACGGCGCGATCCGCTTTGACCCGGAGATGAACATGGGAGCGAACGCAGGACAGACTCGTGCGACTCGGGAATGAGGGAATGAACCAGCCCTGATACATGTAGATACCTCAGGATATCTCAGGATCCATTCCCTTACTCCTTACTAAGCACTAGTCAGAGGAGGGCGGTGGGTATCAGAGGGTGAGAGATTGGGTGGGAGATGGTGGGGCTGTCAGAGATGGGGCGAGGGAGGTCGAGGACAAGGAAGAAGGATATTCTTTTGGCTCGGTTGGAAGAGACTGAATGCCAGGTTGGCTCCCCAAGTTTTTTTTTTTGCACGTTGTTCTTATTGTTTCTTTTCGTTTGCTCCTTGGTTTCAGGACTTGACAAGGCCAGAGGCTACTTGGAGACGATCCAGAAGAACCACCCATCCGTCTCTTGGGCTGATCTCATTCAGCTGGCGTCTGCGACTGCCATCGAAATGGCAGGTGGGGTGAGCGTTGCAGATTCGGGGTGGGGTGCCCAATGGAGGGCTGGGCAGTGTTTGGGGTCAAGACCTTTGGTACTTTTTCTCTGATCGCGGGGCTGCCGCAAGCCCTTGGAATGAGCATGGGCCTCTTGCCAGGTGTGTTTTCTCCGTCCAGGAATTCAAACGTTGCCTGGGGTGCTCCTGCAGGATTGACCGCCTTCTCCCTTGCCAGCAGCTTCCAACCCCGACTTTTCAAAGCTCCTATCTCCCATGCATTCGGTGCTTCTTGCCAGATGGTCGTTGTCACATGCGCCATCCTAGTTATACAGATGGTCGTTGTCACTAGGCTGGTCGATTCATCCCCCCGAACTGGTCCCGCCTGCCTCCCACGAACCGGCCACGGAGCCGTCTCACTCCCGAAGTCGTAGAACGGTGCATCTCTCGGACGGGCATCATCGACCTACAAACATCGGCAGTTGGTGGATTTCAGGGGTCTTCCTGCGGAAGGTCTTCCAGTTCTGCTCGGGTTTTGGGGGACCGGACGGCCCGGGGTCATGCTCTTCCCCCCAGCCACGCGGCGCACGGAGGGGCATCTGGCATGCCAAGCCTAAGAACCAGTTGGAATATCCTTCGCACAATGAAGTTTCCAGGTGTACAATTATAATCAATTATATATAAATATAAATATTAAATCACATATATTTCGTGCATATATAAAATATAGATTTCATTACACGGTAGTTAGCATTTCATTCTATTTCCTTCTTCGGGGTTGTTGAGTCGGAGCCTTTTTCGTTGGACTCTTTGAGGGTGGAAAAGGCGAACTCCACTTTCCACCCTTCCCAGGCTCGTCGACCTCGTCCGGCAGGTGGCCCGGTGATCAAGATGAAGTACGGCCGCGTGTCGGTCACCGACCCCTCGCAGTGCGCGGGCCCCGCCTCGCGCGAGGGCTTCAAGGGCAACGCGGGGCTCCCCGACGCGGCGCCGCCGTTCGGGTGCGGTGCCCAGAAGCCGGAGGAGCCCGGGGGAGGGGTGAGGGGTGAGGGGGTGGGTGGGTGGGTGGGTAACGGGTGGGTAACGGGTGGGGGATGCCTCACTCTTGTTGGTCATGCGAAGCAGTGCTCAATGAGGTGTCTGCCAGGTTCGACTGGGTCTTTGGACCTTGAGGGGGCCGAAGTCCCAAAACCCCTCCCACCTCAATAAGAGATTGGCTTCCAGCTCCCAAAGGAGACATCTGAGCGGACCATTCTCGCCGGAGACTGTGTGTCGTTTTAGGAGATCGGCCCAAGTCGTTGCACGCTGCACTTAGGACTTAGGAGGTGAGTGGTGAGTGGTAAATGGGAAGCTTTGCCTTTCTACCCCCGACCAGTGACCCTCAAACCCATGAACAATAAAGGGTTTCACCACAGAACCATGTTTTTTGATGCGAAAACTCGGTTTGGGCCTTTGGTTTCTACTGTCTACCCCGCTATTGACGCTTGACGCCACGAGGAGCACTTGCGCAACGTCTTCGGGAAGAAGATGGGCTTCACGGATCAGGAGCCGAGTGAAGTTGAGGACTCCTGGAGGGGTGTGACAGTGTGACACAACAGGGGCGACCTCCCAGCCAAGGGATAGAGTCTGCATTTCATGTTCCAATCTTTAAAAACATATCCCTAATAGACACCCATGAGGATCATGAGGCTGCCGCCTGTGGAAAGTCTGGCTTTGGGAGATGAGCCGAGGCGTTTCGGCCCGTCCGGTTTCTGTGGTTTTCGAGTCGAGACGAGGAGGACTCCCTGAAAACCACGAGGCGGTTCACATTCAGTTCTGTTCTGATCCCCCTTGCTTGCGCCTTTTTGACCTCCTGGGTGTCCAATACCCAGGACTTGAGATCCGCGCGAGCCGGTCGCCACAGAGGGAGCCGGTTCTTAGCCGGTCGCATGTGTTCGCTTGGTCCTTCGAAGCCAGCGAGGAGATTGTGGCATTGAGCGGCGCTCACACCTTGGGGCGAGTCTTTAAGGAACGCAGCGGTGCATGCCCTTTTGGCAACAGAGCTGCATCCCCTGAGGGACAGGGAGGTGATGGATTGAGAGGTCTGCCGGGTGCACTCCGAATCTCTAACTTGGAAGTGGACCATGGTCCCTTAACATCACTTAACGACTACTTTCCTCTACTACAGTGGGTGCACCGGCAGAAAACAAAACACAGATTAGAGGTCATGGGTCAGTCTGAGTACTACTTTCAGTCGAGACAATGGAGAACCGAACAGACCACCTTCAGAACAAGATATGGTGGCTGGTGCTGGGACCATGCTTTGGCTGGGGACCTTCCAAAATGCGTCCACTCTTGGAAGTATGGCCTTGGCACTGCTTGCGCTGCGCAAGTGCTGTGCAAGCGCGATATCCCAAGATTCGGAGGTCGGTCAATCCATGGCACTTCATGTGTTGAAGAAAAAGCTCTCCAAGTCCAAGGGCCAAGTTAAACCTGGTCCTTGACCTCATTGAGCACTGTCAAATGAGGTCCTTGAAGAACAAAAACCGCAGGATTTTGCGTGCTTCTCAAGCAGAGCATTATTTGCCAAGCATCCAGAGAAGGAGAGTGAGAGGGATAGTGGAGAAATGGTTTCACCGTCATTCTTTTGGTCCCGCTCTTCACCGTTGTCATCAACACTACAGGCTACGGCGAGCAGAGCGCCTCCAAGTACACCAAGGGCAACTGCATTGCGCGGAAGGATGGCAAGAGCGGCGTCGGCATGGTGGGCGGTGGCGCTTGGACCAAGAACTGGTTGACCTTCGACAACAGCTACTTCGCGAACTACAAGGAGCCCGGCGTGGTTGGACCTGGACTCCTTTGGTGTGGAGTTTCTGGGGGAAGCTGGGGGGCTGGTGAAATGGTGGACCTTTTCTTTCACAGGGGTGTGGATTCGGTGTGGATGATGGGTGGATGCAGGTCGCTTCTGCGGATTTTTCTGCGGCCAGCCGGTGGGGACTGGTCGAAGAGATGTACAAAGCCTTGGGGACCAGACCCATCTTTTCCAGGTGGTAGGATGTCGTCGTTCATCAGTTGAGCTGTTTTCTCTAGAGTTTTATATTTTGTTACATCTAGGGTGGAGGCCAACGCTTTTAGCTTTTAGGTTGGAGGCCATCGCTATCAGGTGATGTTGTTTTTATATATTGTTATATTACTATATTATATATATATATATATATTTACACTGTATATATAAATATATAAATGTTCTTTTTACAGGAGTGCCGGTGGCCAAGTTCGTTGTGAGGATTGGGGTCCACCGCTGTGGTGTTTTTTGGGTGGCGGTTTTCGGGTTCTTGATTTGTCCGGTGGGGTGGGCCGCTCGTGGGAGACTTTTCCTTGTTGTTCCGATAAGCATAGAGCCAACTTTGGTGGCGTAAGGTGTGTGCAAAACATTGCAAAACACCAGTGAGGTGTTGTAAAGAAACCCCACTGCTGTATACTGCTAGTGTCTCATCTCCATGTTTGTATCATTGTACCTTACATGTTTTGATCTCACATGTTCACCCACCTTTTTTTTTTCTGGGTTCGGGTCAAAAAAACATTGATATTCAAAGCCTCCAGCTTTGCAGCAACAGGGTTTGAATTTGAAAGGACGCCATGGATGATGATGATCTCATTTGGCTGCCCACGGATGAAGTCCTGCACAATGACCCCGAGTTCAAGAAATACTTCTACAAGTATGCTGGTGGCTGGGTGGCATTGGAGGTTGACATTTTTTTATTCTCTCTCTCTCTCTCTCTCTTTCTTTGCGTTTCTTTTGCGTGGCTTATTTTTGTTTCACGGCCTGGTGGGGCCTTTGGTTGGGGCCCGTCGCCATTTTCTGTCAGTCTGTCACCTTTTATCCAGGTGACCAGAACGCCTTCTTCCAAGACTATGCCCTGGCGCACAAGAAGCTTTCTGAACTGGGAGCGAAGTTTGACCCACCATCCGGTTTTGAGATTTAAGTGGAGAGCTCCCCCGTTTGGGCTCCCAACATCGGCCGAGGCGGCGTTTCACGGAGGCTGAGAGAAGTGAATATCATCCAGCTAGGTGACAGATGACCCCCGTGACCCGCACAGAGAAATGTTGCTTGTGAAGTGCGCCCCGAAACCTAAACGCCTGAGCCGACCCTGAGGAGGACTCTTTAGGCCGCCTTGACCGAGGCGTGATAGTTTTCGCAGAGACCCACCGCCCACATGGCACAGGCCATGCACAGTTACAGAAAAGATCTGAGCCGTGCACCTAAGCCGTCAGGGAAGGTGGGAAGTCAGTTTCGGGTCTATTTTAGGCTTACCATCTGCCCGTGGCCGCAGATTCACCGCCACAAATGCTTGAATTGAACCGTGAAATGGCAGACATTTGAGACCAGGCATCCTCTTCCAAGAACTCCTCGTGAAGAGCCATGTTTGGAAAGGGACGGTGGGGGCTTCTGAAGATTTCTTCCATGGGTGCTGCCCGTTTCCTTGGCTCTCAGCTCGTGGCCGCACTTAAGAAAAGGAACTGGCAGTGAAAGCACATCGAGACCACGCCCACGCTGTGCCACGCTGCGCCCAGTCCTCCACCATGCAGCCCTCCTCCAACCCCCTGTAGCACAACAGGAACGCATGCAGTGTGTGAACAAGCTACGACCGATGCTCATTTTTGGTGTTTTGGGGTTTTAGAGTGTGAAAACGGACCAAAACACACGACTTCTTCTCAACAAAAGGCTTTTCTGAAAGGATTCGCTTGCGGCTGACGAGGTGATGGGTCCACATGATCAGCCAACGCTGCTCAGCCAGTTCTGCCCGCCCCCCACACCCTCACCGAAGCTCTCGGGACTGGTGCGGGTCCGCACCCAAACCAGGCAGCCAACGACAGCAGACTTCCGCCAGACCCAGACACCCTGACACAGCATGTCTAGAGATTAAGGAGCGAGCCTATCGCAGTCTAGCAGTCGGCCAAGGCCATACCTCCGTTCCTCGTCGCCTCTCCACCTCCGGGTGGCACCGAGTGGCCGCCATGGCGCTGGTCTCGGCGGCCCTCGGGGCGACCGCACTCTTCGGCCGGGAGGCTTGAGCGGAGGGCCAAGAGGACAGCTGGTCTTTTCTCCAGGGGGTATCCATGGGTCCATGGAAGTGTGGTGCACAAATAGTCAATGGTGACTTGAAGAGTTGAAGAGGGAAGTTCGTTTGGAACGACCAAATGCACGTGTATGTCATCACATGCACGATCTGTGGATTGTTGGCTGTGGCTCAGCCGATTTCACTGGACCCCATTGCCACAGGTTGGATGGGAAGCACTGTCTGACTGCATGGCCCCATGGGTTTCAGCGCTAAGGCTACAACCGTGAGAACTTCCAGTTCGACAAGAGGCAGATGCTCCAAAGACGCTGGGCGGCAAGCTGAGGCTAGTCATGGTGGTAATGATGTGGGTTTTGGAATGAGGGAAGCGAAGGGAGGGAGAAGAGATACCGATCTGGAGATGGAGAGTGGCCTGTGGTGTGTGGCGTGTAACCTGTAGTGGACTGGAGGTGAGGTGAGGTGAGTGAATCAGTTTGTGAGACTGCCATGGATCGCTGTTTGTGGGGTCATGACTTAGAGTAGACTGCTCCTAAAAGATTTCCTGAGCAACCTGCCCTGGTTCTAGATGTACATAGGTGGTGAAGAGGAGCAAGCAGGCCGCATGCCAACGGCATGCCAACCTCCGGAAAGAACCAACGCAACCTCCCGGCTCCCTGTTTTTGCAGAACAAGGCCACGCAGAACATCAGACCCCAAACTTGGTCCCTGACAATCATCCATCTCCAACCCACTGGGCTCAAAAACACAATTTGAACACTCTCTTCTCCACCGGGTCCGGCCTCGCCCCTTCCAAAGCATCTGTCCTTGGTGGAGACCAGGGAGACCACCTTTTTGCGACTCAGAGAACATTCAAGAAGGTTCTTTTCTTGGTGCGACGGCATCCACCCTTCTCGTAGGATGATCATTTGCATGCCTCCGGCACCAGATGCCCATCCACTTGCACCGGATGCCTGGCATTTTGTCCTTCGACCGCTTCATTTGCCACCCGCTGGTTCGACCCCAAAACAGGTCCATCACCGTGTCACCCGCCGGACCCAATCCGGTGTCCGCGGACCGCGGAACCCAAAACGGTGTCCGCCGCTCCAGCGGAACCGCGGCCGAGGAGAAACGCTGCGCTTGAACATGCAGCTGAAGCGCTTCGCCCTCTTCCGCGACGACGTGCGGGACCTGGTGACCCTCACCGTGGATCGCCCCTTGGACCAGGTCGAAACGGCGGACTTCGGCGGGTCGAAACGGTCGGGGGAGAAAAAATGGTCGAAACGGATGGTTCTGAGGAGTTTTGGTTCATCAATCGCCTCGTTGAATTTTCGCTCTTGAAAATTTGTGTTGAGCCTTTGTCGTTTTTCTGGGGTCTTGTTATGCGTGTTTTAGGGTCATCACTTTCACTTCATTGTTTGGATTGAATGAAGAGGATAATTGTTGAGGTGGTCAGAGTTTCTATGTGTAGGTTCAGGCAAAGATGTCGAATTATTTGCTATTGTCCTTTTTTCTTTGACATTCCGCAGATGCATTTTTGTGAGGCAGGTTCAGCTTGCGCCAGGCCGGTTCGTCCTTCCAAGCGGTCATGCACGAACACAGCCTGCAAGGGCTTTTCCGGCGCAGACCGTTAAAGCTGGTTGGACTTTGTTGAGCACAGGGAGCGTCGTAGTGCTGGTTCTCCTAGCTCTCATTCAAAGGTTCCTTCCTGGCTTCTTCATGAACAGGGCAGTGAGGAAGGCTGGGCAAAGGCTGAAAAGGAAAGAGCCCGCCCCTGCACGGCCTCTCGAGGAGGAATGCATCAAGGACTTCATCAACTTACCTCAACGTGAAGCTTTGAGCACCCCTTCCTTCTTGGTGGTCAGTGGTTCCCAAGGCATTGGGAAATCAACCATGCTGAACAATCTCATGTGTGAGCATGTGAAGAATGGCAAAAGGGTGCTTCCTCTTGATATTTCTGTTCGTCCTGGGAGTGTGAGAGTGCCGCCGGCGCCAATCGTAAAGTCAGAGTTTGGAAATGCATATGTTCTTCATGTTCAAAACCATATTTTCCATTTTTGTTGCATATGTTCTTCATGCATTCTTTCACCTTCAAAAAACGTCAGGGGACTTCTGTCCTTTGCTGACATGGTGCGCAGAGAAAAACAAGCCTGGCCTAGCTGAATCCGGCTGCATACCAAATGCAAAACCAAATGCAGTATTAGAAAAGCAATGCGCCCAAAATCCACTGGAGGAATGCACTTTGCATCCAAAAAATGCACATTGAGGACATAGCTGGTAAAGCAGGTGGTGCTATCATAACGATTGTGGGACCTGCTCCATTGTAGCTGTGCCGTCCACTCGTGGGAGGCACTGTAATTAACCCATGGCTGAGACGTTCGCAACCACCGGCCATCTGAGGAATGGATGTGTATCATTTGATCGGTGCTCTCTTCATGAAGCCTCTCAGCTTAAACATCAATCCGCTCGCCAAGTCGCACGCCATGCATACGTAATAGGGGTGGGGGATGGGGGAGGACGTGGTTCCAAAGGAATGGTTTTTGAAACCTAAGTGGATCATGCACCCACCCCTACCTTCCAATCGCTCCAAAGAGGCCCTTTGTGGTGTGATGATGCATACGTCCCCACAAGTGGCTTTTGGAGGGGGTTCTTCCTCAATTTCTAAATCACTCGCGGCTTGTACGACATCTCGCTAACCAAAACCACCAACTCCCTCTCCTTCCCTTTTCCCCGAGCTCGCCTTTTCGAGCTCCGAAAAACCGCGTCGTCGGGGCGGCCGTCCACGCGGCCGAAGACGAGCAGATCAAGGTTCTGCATCATCGTCTTCTGCAAGGGGCGCATCCAAGCCTCCGCACCACCTTTCGTCTTGCAACTCTTTCAGCTCTCCAATGCTTGCGCCTTCATGTGCCTGGAGAGGTCTTGTTGGAGTTCGGGTGGAGAGGTGGGGTTTGATTGGTCGAGGAGTCGCGGCAGTGTACCTGTGACTCACTGCAGGTTCTGTTAATGTTCGTTGGGTACCGGCCTTTTTCAGAATTCATGGTAGGAGGCTTCCAACATATCCATACCATTCCTCACACCTAAGAAATTTTGAGAATGGTATCCCAAGTCAGCAGACTGGGGAATTCACTCTTTTCTGCATTTGGAACCCTGGGCGAGATTTCTTCTCGTGAAAAAGGGAGCCCCAGCTTAGTCATGGCCCTAGGTTCCGTTTGAATTCCAACTCTCCTGACTGCTCACCATGGGAATTGGATGCAGCTGCTTTGTTCGAAGAATCTGCGCAGCGAGCGAGACTGCGCCCGACGAGGTACTTGCTGTTGGCAGTTTGGCTCAGCATGCACGCGTCGATCGCCTCCCATAGCTTTGGGGTGAAGATGTTGCTCGAACCTGGATCGTTGTCGTGGATCGTTTGCTTGTGGCAGTTGGACATGGGATGGAAGCAGCTTGTGCTTGGTTGTGCTCTTCCTTGGCAAGAGAACCAGCGAAAGCAGTCTGCGCGGCCGTGCCTGCGGTGTGGTTTTCGAGGGATGAATGATAGGTGGTCAAGAAACTATACAAATTGATAGATAGGTCGGTAGACAAGACGCTGCGCCCACGGACAGGCTACTTGAGGTGTACAGTATGCAGGATTCATCAATCAAGCTCTTAGCTCTTTCGTTAGAAGTGCACTTTTCATGAGGCTCACGCGCTTTGTTCGGCTACCAATCCCCACGCAGAAGCAGCTGACCGTCTTGCAGGCGCGGACGACTGTCGCGGAGTCGTTGGTGACGGAGTCGTTTCTTGCTCTCGGCGACGAGCTAATTTAGACTCTTGATTAATAAGCCATTGTCTGTCCTATTAGTCATCCCCTGGTAGTAGGGTAGGAGAGACCCAAAATAAGCCCCCTCCAGACATGGATTGAAAAACCTGTGCATATGGGTGGGTTATTAAAATCAAAAGTCTACGCTAGAATGTGGGGCCACCTCCAGGAAGGCAACCTGCACAGCACACAAGAAACTAAACACAAAAGTGAACAGCCATCGGGTTTGTGGTGGAACCATATTGTATCCTGTCGGGGCATGGCCATGTTTTCTTCATGTACAGTATCGTTTGTGTGGTGTGCACTCCCATGGACAAAAACTCCCCGTCCCTAGTTGAGTGGGCCCTGGTGGTGTGCTGGGGCTGTTGACCAGCGCGACGCAGCGACCCAGTCCAAGCTGATTGACTTCGAGAAGCAGGGCATTGCGCAGATGATGCGGCTGCCCTTCCAGGATCATCAGGAACGGTGCTCGGGTTCTGAAGTTCTGTTCGGGTTGCTGCAGTGAGATTTGGAGTGCTTTTTTGGTGTTGGGTGTGCTCGTGTAAGTGTAAGGTGCTGAATCTGGCAACGGGAGGGGCAGTGGCCCATCCATGGGTTGAGTGATCATGTAGAATGATCATCCATCAAGGGGGTGTGTGATGAAACAGTTTATGGGTTTGGGTTGATGGCAGGTGGGTGTCTCGATCTGTTCGTCTCGGTCTGTCTGTCTCGGTCTGTCTGTCTCGGTCGGTTTGTCTCGGTAGGTCTGTCTCGGTCTGTCTGTCTCGGTCTGTCTGTCTCGGTCTGTCTGTCTCAGTCTGTCTGTCTCGGTATGTCTGTATTGATCTGTCAGTCTGTCTGTTTCTTTCGGGCAGGACACACGGACGAACACGCCCACGATGTCAATAATGCAGCGTCCCCCGGGCTGCATAGCCGGCGTCGCGAACGTTCATTTCCGAAGCCATACTTATCAATCTTCAAAGGACTCAAAAACACATCATTTCAAAAAAATGAAAGGCCTCCCCCAAGCTAAAGCTTGCCAGCGCGTGACCAAAAGTGAGTTTTCGGGCGATCCAAGTCGAGTCCGTCACTTGGAAGGTGTGGTGACCAGTCACGTCAAAGTTCCGTCAGGGTGCAATCCCTGAAAGCCAGCCTGGACTGGCCAAGTGCTGGTTCTCCTCCAGCGCTGCGCCATGAAAAGCAGCACGAGGTTTCAGTAAAAGCATGTAAAAGCTGGTGCCAGCACTGAAGCCACGCCTGTGAAAACAAAAGCTGGCGCTCATGCACTCCCTCGACTCAAACACGAGGGTGCACATGACCGAAATCTGGTGTGTGCGACCCACCAAGATCATCAATTGGGTGTGTATTGACAGTAGGGAGACCCGCAAGGAATGGGCTTGTGGTTTGGGCTTATTTCCCTTCCAGGGCCGTCTCCCCATTCCAACCCATCTCCAATCCACATCCCTATGTCGCACCCTCAAGAAATGACGTGTATGACGCTGAAACTTCACGACGGATGTTGCACCGCGTCCCGTGGAGAGATCCGACCTGCACTCCTCGCCGGTTCCGGGGCTTGACCACTTTCCGGATGGTCCCACAAAAACCGTCAAAAACCGTTTTTCCCTCATATGATAGATAGCAACAAACATGGCTTTTGGTACAGTATGCGAAAACTTGCATGTTTTATGGGACACTCAGGGCCACTGGTAGGAGGTGATGTGCCAGTGAAGAGCTTGGCCCTGCACTCTGCGGTCGGTTTGGTGGTTGAGGAAATAACCCAAGAGCCAGCTGATGCCGGTAAGAATCCTGATCGAATGCTCGACAGGATTGGGAGGCAGTTCGTGGGAAAGAACCAGGGCTGCCGCCGCAGGCGTGGGGAAGTTCTTTTTGCCAGGAAAAAGGGGTGGAACATGGGGTGCGCGATAGGCACTAGTCACGAGTGGCGTGCTTAGAGGTTGGCAAGGACACAGCGGAGCAATCGCCAACTTTCATAAGAACAGTCCAGATCGCTTCAGGCAAAAAGGTGGACCATTTCCATCCATTTCCACACTACTTTCTGGTATTTTGCAATCCTACACTGTACATGCTAGTTTTGCCAACCAACCAGTGATCCTTGCCATGGCATTTGTTTCTTCTTGGAAGTCTTGTTTGGGGACATCATATGCATACCGTATATTGAACAGGTGATGCAGGAGCTTCACCTAGCTGGAGTTGCAATTTCAATATCCTTCTCAAACCTAAACACATCCCATTGGGTGGTGGTTCGAAGACACCCCTGAACCACTAGCACTCCTGAACGGGCGTCCTGATAAGCACAGTATGCGAAAAATAGTCGTGTATAATATGTACCGACAGACAGACAGACAGACAGACAGACAGACAGACATACATACATACAAACATACAAATATACATACATACAGACGGACGGACGGACGGACAGACAGACAGACACACACATAGACACATACCTACATACAGACACACACATACATTCCTAAATATGTACATGCGTACATACGTACAGACACACGCGCACATACACACATACCACATACATACGTACATACGTACATACATACAGACACACGCACACATACACACATACCTGCATACGTACATACGTACATACAGACACACGCACACATACACACATACACACATAGCTACATACGTACATACGTACAGAGACACGCACACACACACATACACACATACCTACATACGTACCTACGTGCATACATACATACATACATGCATACATACATACATACATACATCCATGTAAATAGAGTGCCTCTTTTGGCTACTCCCTTCGGAGTTTTTTGAGGCGAAAGGGCCCATTGAGAAGGCCGCAAGCTGGGGCCTCACAGAGCGCGTGTTTTGTTTACCAGGATGCGAAGCATTGAGCTTGCAAAAGGTGCGCTCACTTGGTCTTCCAGAATTTTTAAGTGCCTCATGGGGCCTCAGGTCCCTCATCCGGCCTTTCAGGAGCTCCCATAAAGGAATCTCAATCCGCTCATCCTTTGTTCTTGACGCCCCAGGTGCAGCGAGCCTGCAGCCTGTGAGTGCAGACAGTGCCAGCGCACAGGTGTCCTGGTGGAATGACTCAACATTTCAACATCTGCAAGATACCCTCACGAAGTGGAAACATGTGATGTGCTCGCCAGAGCGGCGCGACTGACGGTGTTTTGCAACCAGCACTCGAAGGTTCCGATGCCCCCATGGGTCATTGCGTCACTGCTTTCCCTGAACTGGCGGATGAGCCAGTGAGCGCGTGGAGCGGAAAGAGGGAGAGAGGAGGATTGAGTTGATCTCGGGGTGTGAGAACCCCTCACAAAACCAATTTATAGGTGATTTTGACGGACCAACCCGAGCAACGCAGAAAAAACGTCCGGTTTTATGCATTCTCTTGATCGACCAGGACTTGGGATCTGAACCCATGGTGGCCACGGTGGAAGCAGGCGCGGATTGTTCGTGCCGGACGCGTGGTGCACGAGACGCACCGCGTTCAGCATGGGGAAGACGCAGGAAAACAGCGTAGAGCGGGTGGTTCTATTTGCTGCAGATAGTGAGTGGCATTCGTTTCCTATACATTTTGATATCGTTTAGATGTACTTTTCTATCTGTTTTGGGACCGTGATGCAAACAAAACTCATGTGATGTTTGAATCCACCCAGCTCTATAGAATTTGCTGAACGCTTGATCAAAGGGGGTGCAAAACTTCCGTGTTACGGACTTTCGTCAGCTCTAGCTCTAGTCAGCTCTAGCTCTAGTCAAGTCAGCTCTCCTGGCCGCAGGCAGCTCTAGCTCTAGTCAGCTTTAACTTTAGCTCCAGTTAGCTCTAGCTTTAGTTAGCTCTAGCTCTGGTTCGCTCTAGCTCCAATCAGCTCTAGCTCCAGTTTGCCCGTAGCTCTAGTTGCTCTGGCTCTAGTCAGCTCTTGCAATAGTCAGCTCTAGCTCCAGTGAGCTCTAGCTCTAGTTGGCCCTAGCTCTAGTTAGCTTTAGTTCCAGTCAGCTCTAGCTCTAGTCAGCGCTCTAGTTAGCTTGTTTTTCCATACAAAGTGTGGCTCCGAACCTGGAAAGTCAAGCTCTACGGAACGACGGTTTCCGGACGGTCTCGCGTCATGCTCGGATCATGCTCGAATCGTCCTTCCATTGTAACTAGAGTTTTCACCTGTTTCTGGTGTACGTTCTGTTGATGGAATTCCATTGCGTTTTGCAACTCCTGGATGGTTTCCGCACTGTAAATGTGACTGCAAGTGTTGCTGGTGGATGAGTTTTGCAACTTCAGGATCGTTGCCGCAATGTAATTGGCACTTTCATGTCTGGTTGGATCATGCTTCGTTTTGCAGGTCTTCAACATGCGTTTTGGAGGGAAGTCTCGTGCAAAATGCGTTTTTGATAGCGGATGCACGAATGTTTCCATACAAAGTGTGGCTCCAAACCTGGAAAGTCAAGCTCTGCGGAACGACGGTTTCCGGACGGTCTCGCGTCATTCGCAGATCATGCTCGAATCGTCCCTCCATTGTAACTAGAGTTTTCACCTGTTTCTGGTGTATGTTCTGTTGATGGAATTCCATTGCGTTTTGCAACTCCTGGATGGTTTCTGCACTGTAAATGTGACTGCAAGTGTTGCTGGTGGATGAGTTGTCGCTGGAATTTCAGTGTGTTTTGCAACTTCAGGGTTGTTCCTGCAATGTAAATGGCACTTTCATGTCTGGTTGGATCAGGTCTTCCAGTTACACTTTTTGAGGAAGTCTCACAGAATTGCCTCGTTTGGTGGTCTTCAACATGCATTTTGGAAGGAAGTCTCGTACAAAATGCGTTTTGGAGAGATAGCGGATGCAGGAAATGTTGTGTTTTTCCATACAAAGTGTGGCTCCAAGCCTGGAATGTCAAGTTCTGCGGAAGGACGGTTTCCGGACGGTCTCGCGTCATGCTCAGATCATGCTCGAATCGTCCTTCCTTGGTACTAGAGTTTTCACCTGTTTCTTGTCTACGTGCTGCTGTGACAGGGGTGTGGGAGCGATGATTGGATGATTGTTTGGTCGCAGACCGCAGGGCGTGTGTGAAGGGACACTCCGGATGCAGAGCTATAGGTCAAATTGTGCTTATAGGAAACTTCCGCCGCCGGCTTGCCCGGGAACTGCTTGTACAACTGATATAATTACCAATCGGCGCCTGTTGGTCCGAACCGCCTGGGGCCACAGGTTGCTTTTCTGCAGTGGTTCATGAGACAAACCGGTCCTTTTGATATCGTTGAAGGATTTAGGCTTAGGCTTTAACTTTGTACTTCATGGCTGACTGGTGCTTAGTAGGGACAAAGGGAATGAACCCCCAATAGAGATTCTATTGGATCCATTCCCTCATTCCCTGCTAAGCACCAGTCAGATGGGGTTTCTGATGATCAATGCGTGTGTTTCTTCGGTGTTTTCAAAGCAAGTCACCTCGGAATGAAGGAAGTCAGGTGCGTAGGGGGGCTCTATCTCACTTTTCTGAAAAGCACCGTTTTTTTTCGCTGTCCGACTGTTGGCTCTTTCATTTGCAGCCTGGAGAAACCCTCCAAAGACTGGCCAGTTTGAACATGTCTTAGCTCAGAACGCACCTGTTGGAGCATCGTGCCTTTTTCCGCGGAGTGAGGGGGGCGGCTTTTTGGAGTCGACCTCTGGTCGAGCGACCGCCGAGGCGACGCGGGGACGACCTCCGCGATGCTGTTGGACTCCAAGGACCGAATGGCACGGCCGGGCCGTGCGGTCGACCAGGTGGCTCCCGCCAGCTCGAGCCAACCAGTGCGCGGCGTGTTGTGCGCAGTCTGCGCAGTCTGCGCAGTCTGTTCCGTGTCGCCCTCGTGTTCCATGGTGCTCGAAACCCATGACTGGCCTATCCCGGACCCGTGGTTTGGATGCTGTCTTGGCTTCTGATCAGGGAGCTTGACTTTGAAAGGAGGCCGCACATCTGGCAGTCATGATGTCCAAGCTCCCTACATGCCGCCTGCGTTTGTCCATTTCAAGCTTTGACCAGACCTTCCGACCCCATTCCACCCTTCCCACCCCCTTTTGCTTCGCGGGCTGCCGCTTACCGCTTCGGCTGCGGGCGGGCTTCCGAGGAGACGAAGCCCTTCGAGGATTTGCTGAGCAGTTCCAGGGGCGCGATGCCCGAGCGGCACGTGCAGCTCTTCCGCCGCTAGCAGCGACAAAGGGACGTGCAGGAGGAGACGTGCGAAAAGAGACGCGATGTTTGGCAGTTTGGCAAGTTGAGATGCGGATGGAGGAGAAGGTGGGAGAAGGTGGTGTTGATTTTCTAAAAGGCATGTTATGTTCCTCTCTTGATGTTTCGAGCAACGGGGATGTTGAAGATTCACAAGATTGGAGTGCATCTTTTGCGATCTTTTGTGGAAGGTCGCCTTTCACCTTGGAGGTCAGGCGCAACATGTTCAACAGGGGGTGCTGGTGCTGGTTGATGCTGGTTGGCGGGGTTTTGCGAAAAGGACACCAGGTTGAGTAGTAGGCATAGGTTCTAAGATCTCCCCTTTTCAACAAACACAAGTGGCCCGGCAGGGTGAAACGAACTTGGGGTGAGTGATCTTCACGGGCCTTGTTGTCCCCAGGTAACCTGCAAAAAGGTATTATATATCTTGGATGTACGAGTCTTCGGGGTGTTTGCCTATCACATCCTAAGGACAGTTGCAATTCAAGTGGCAGTGCTACGATGCTTACTGTCGTGTTTGTCTTGGCTTGGGCCTGCTTCTTGGACAGCATCTATGTCAATGTGTGAACTCCCCTCCTCTGGCGTGAGGAGGAATCAGTTTCCCATCATTCCTTGCGTCTCTTGAACGGGTCGTGCCCAGAATGTCCACGGTTGATCGAGTAATATTACAGTATATAGATATGATATCATACCCCACCAAGGTAAACCTACCCAATTAGTTTTGGGGCTGTTTCCCCACTGAAAAGACCAGGTGGAACTGGGGAGCAATGCAGTTGCCGAGCACCTAGGACCAAGAATCACCTTGAAGGGCTGAAGTCAATTTTTCAAGGATCCACTTCCATGTTGGAGGGGGTTCATCCCCTTTAATAATCGCAAGTTTTGGGCCACGCTTCAAGTTTGTAGACCCGGACCGAACGTCGGCGGCGCAGGAAATTGCGTGACCAAACATCGCATCATTGACCCACCCTCCCGTTTTTTGGTATGGAATCCCTGGGGCACCGCGACAAAATGGAGGGACACGGGGGTCCCAACTGAGGAACCATATTCTACAGGCGGGCGGGCGTCCGGCGTCGGCGCTTTGCGGCGGTGACAGAGTTGGACATGTCTGGAAGATGATCCAGTGACAGGCGGTCGACCAGGTCGACCACTGTAGAAGAGCAGTCCGAAGAGGTCTTCAAACATAAAAAACGCGAAGCTGAAGAGGTCTTTTTGCCAGGGTCCCGAGAGCAAGTTCTGTGCCGCACATAGATCCCGATAGCATATCAGCCCAAAAATCCTCTCAAAAGCGCGATGTTGATGGAAAAGATGATTTGGGTGGGGCCAGTGATTGAAGCACACCCAATATGTCTGACTTATGTGACAAGCATTTCTCCCGCCGAGTGGCCCTTCCCACAACCAACACGGGAGGACGACCGGGGAACTTGTTTCTTGGGCCTTGCTCACCTGGGTGCCCCAGCTTTAGATCCCTAATCACCCAGAGGTCCAACGCATTCCGTGACGAAACAGAGGCGCTCACCTACTACTGCATCTGCCATGCCTTGGTGGAGAACCGCACGCCCAGCCTTGGCTTCGGCCTGGTCGTCGCTCGCTTGGAGTGGTCCAAGTCTGCCCTGTGCGGACGAGGGGATTGGGGTCCTTCTTGGGGCCTTTGGAACGACCTACCGTCACACGAAACGCTGACCAGTTTCCCTGGTGTGACCTGGAGGCGTGGACGGAAACTCAGGTGTGACCTGGCGTCGCACCGGAAAAAGTCGGTGACACCCAGGTGCTCTTCCAAGCCGCCACCATCTTCGTGGCCTTTCTGGACCTAGCGGGCTTGCAGCACCGGGAGATCATCACCGTGCAGATCGTCAGCCGCTGGGCGACACCGACACCGACACCGCGTTGGGTGGGTGTCGCGTTGGAAGCCTTCGCTCTTGCAGTAGAGTCAGGTAGAGGAGGCCACGGCCCTTTGGGGGTCACGTTTCTTTCGTCATGTGCTCCCAGATTCGCAGTGGAGGGGGCAATTTTTTGAGGGTGTTTTTTCTTGTCATTTCTTGTGGTGCCGCGTGGCCTCCATTTCCTCTTCTGACATGCTCTGACATTTTTTGTATGTTTTCTTTCTGGAAAGTGTTCCAAGCCAAAGACCCCTCCCTTCACAAGGGTATTGTCCATAGACTGGGGCTGGGGCGGCTGGTTCAAGTCACCCACTTTGGTACGGCTACGGCTCCTGAGGCATCCTGCCCTCCTTAGCGACGGCGCTGGAGGTGAGTTTAAGCCCTCGCGATGAGGAAGGGAAGCTGATCCCGCACCAGGAGCTGGGAATCATGGGGTGCAGAATTAGTAATTAGTAGTGGCGGAAAGCTTAGAAGTTTTTTGAAGGTAAGAGTCCAGTGAATCAAACAATGGATATCCCCCTGTTAACATTAGTGATACGAGCATAGCCCAGCATAGCTGATTTTTGCTTGGACAGGTAGGCAGAGGGAGTTCGGTCCATTTTGCCCCGCGCTTCACTTTGTGGAGCCAGATTCCTTGTGCTTGTTTAGGGCGAGTGAGTTCAGATCGACACGCAGGCTGCTAGTTCAGATCGCAGTATTCATTTGGGAAAATTAGGTAACGGGTGTGACTACTGTAGGTGGGCAACTGGTGACTTAGTGATTTGATGAGCTCTCATATTGTCACGATTTGGAGTTGAAAGCGGGGACCTCGTTGCACGAAGACACTGGTCTGTATGGGCCGTTGAATTTGAGGTGGCGTATTCCATTTTTGGTAGCGATCCAACCGCCGCAGACGCGACGGCTCTTTGTAGCCGTCCCTTTTTCTCGGGTGGTGCCCAAATCCGCTGGACCTTGCGATGGTGACGCTGCCTGAGGATGAGAGGCTCGGATTGCAAGCTGTACTTAGCAGACTTAGCACAGCCAACATGATGAACATGGAAGGGGACAGCCCTTGTTTGTAGAGGAAAGGAGTCAGAAGGCTTCCAAGGGGGCATTCTTATTCTCGGCTTCCATGTTTGAAGCCTTCATCTTCCAACTGGCACTGGGGGACGGTGCCTATGCTAAATCACGGACTGGGCAGGCGGGGAGCGCTTATCAGCCATGTACATGCATCGGGAGCTTGCCTGCACCCTTTACTAACTGGGAGCTTAGCTGAGCTACAAAGTTGCTTGTGTAAGTGGGGACGCCTGGTCTAAACAAGGCTCTATTATTCTATAGTATATCATGAGATTTGAGACCCCGAGGTCTACAATGGTACTTCCACTCTTGCAGGTCTAAATGTGCATATGTGTGTATATGGAATTGCACATATCACGTATGGTATTAACATATATTATACACGATAGCATCGAATCAGTGAGTGCGTTTCGTCGTCGATGCACTGTACCAGTCTATGAGCTCTCAGGTCCAGTTTGTTCCTTTGTTCAGATGCTGGCTTGCTCTTGCAGATGTATTGACTTGCCCCAGCATCCAATGCCAATCTTCCATTCGACGCCTTCTGTCAAGCATGCCCTTCCGTCGTTCGACGGCCACTGGCGCCTGAAAGGGGCCAACGGGTCTCTTTCGTGGTGTGGGCCGACACCCAGCCAGCTGCGACATCTTCAACCGAGGAAGCCCTCAGCGGCTCTGAAGAGCTCGCCAGCGCCATCCCCTCTCAGCCGCTTGACCCGGTGGCTTCGGCTGGTCACATGCCAGCGGCGCGCCAGCGCGGAGGTGCGCCAGGCACGCTACGAGGAGCTGGTGGCCAAGGGCCAGCAGGTGAGGGGGAGCTGGGGATGGGAAGGGGGATTGGAACGTGTTCTTCTTCTTTTTTTGAATTTTTGGGTGGGTGGAACACTTCAAGTCTGATTCTTTGACTGTGCCAGAGTTCCGTTGAATCATGCTTCTTCGTTTCGGTGCTCCAGTTTGGAGCACCATGGCCCTCATGCCGGTGTTGCTTCTTCAGGTGCCAGAGGTGAAGAAGGAAGATTGGTCCCCCGGAGGGACGGAGGGACGGAGGGAGGCACGGATGGCCGCAGTTCGCTGGGCTGGGCCGATGCGTGGATGCCGCGTGGCCGGGCCGATGGCGCAAATCCTAGGAACGTCGTGCATCGCTAGTAGCAAGAAGATACAACTGTAGTAGCTATTTGCTACTAGTAGTAGTGGCCTCCAACCTGCTAGCGATGGCCTCCAACCTATATACTAGCTATTTGCTACTAGTGGCGATGCACTTGTTACAAGCTGGTGTTACTGGCCCGTTTCACCTTCTTTCAGCGCAGGGACCTGCAGCAGGGACCCTCCCGTGATGTGGATCATTGTTGGGCAGCATGTAAGGAGGTGGGGAAACACTTCCCTGGACCCAAACCCGCAGTTTCATGAGAAACCCTTTGGGACATTGAACTCCAAATCGGAACAACAAGACAAACACAGGACAAACCCACATGCATGTCTATCGACCCGTCTTTCAATCTTTTCCAAACCGAAGCTGGCGGGGTCGGAAGGACACGAACCCCCGGTGCCCCCCCGCTCGTCGGTGCTCGTTAGAAAAGGAGGTCCTTGGGGCCCAACTCTGCCCGCCGCGCCTGAACCTCCCCAACGGGGACCGACGGACGGTCCGCCCGCCGAGGTACGAACGCTTAGCGTGGTGGAGCGAGGTGAAGACCAAGAAGGGCTCCAAGGCAGGGACGACGAGATGGACACGCTGGAAGTTCCAATGGTTCAAGAAGGGCCAACGAGGGGTCAAGGATGGGTCAACGATGAATCTTGAGTCATCAAGAAAGATCCCCAATCTGAAGAGGTGTGACAATTCAAATTGATCGGCAAAAGAAGGACAAGACAAGACTTGATCAAACACGCCGACTTCGTCGTGGTCGTCTGCCGGTCCGTCGCGGTTTGGGGGGTCGCTCGCGTGGGCACGTGATGTGTGCGGGAGTGACGTTTTGTTGGGGGGGGGGGTGGAAAGGGAGAAGGGATGGAAGTGGAGAAGGGCGACTTTACTGCCTTCAGTTAGGGCAGATGTTTTGTGGCTGGCGCCGAAATGGATCGCCCCAGCTCCCCGAGCGCGGGTTCAAGCATCAAGCGTGTCATGTGCCACCATTGTTCTATCATGCATGTCATGCGACTTGTAGCATTGGAAACGTCGAAACCTGCCAGTGAGGACTACTGGGTGCCAGGGAAAACCCTGGTTTACATGGGGTTTATCGTTGTCTTACTTGGGATTTCTTTCGAGATCCAACAAGCACTTTATATATACACACACATATATATATATATATATAGATATATAAATATAATAAAACACACACATAAATATATACATATACATATATATATATATATCTATGCGCATACACATATAATTTCATATATCCCTCATGATCAACGATCCGTGATTTTCAAGATTGATTCATGCTGGTTGAAGCTTCAAATCGTTTTCCCATGGATCATGCAAATCATGCGTCCTGCCACCAAGGTCTTTGTGATAGCGCCACGGGGCCCTTCAGGGGAAACGGAGCCTGGGCCGTTGTTTCAAAGTGAGAGACAGATCACAACAGTCTCAATATGTCTCAATTCTGGAGTGGTGGCAAGATATGGGGTTGGCAAGTCCGGACTTTATTCCAACAGATGTTGGGATTTGGGCCGCCATACATGGGTTCCCCCTCCTAGGCTTGACTCGATGGCTGAGCGCGAATACGGCGCAACAATATCCAATCAGTTCACTGTCCACCCGTTTCTGCACGCTTTGTGAGCAGAAGACCTGCGAGGCCCAAAGGCCGCGACCCCTCAGAACAACCTCCGACACGTCCTGACTCTTTCTTCTCGCTGGATCGGCTGCCCTTTGGTCCCCCAGGACTACTACATCAACATGCGAGAGTTTCTGGGCTTTGCCCTCTCCAAGATGCACAAGACGGTCATTGAGGAAGAGCAGCGCTACGCGGTGGTCTGGGTACAGGAGAGTGACCATCGAGTAGGGCCCTGGATGGCATGGCGATTTTCCGAGAGCCTTCCTGAGACCTGGCCAAATCAAGAGTCTACATGTAGCACGAAACAAGACACCGACGACCGCTTCGAAGCGCCACGAAACGGTCTTCTCAGGGAGTGGAGGGGAGGGGAGGGATGGAGGGAGGAGGCCTGCGAGGTGGGGAGGCCATCACCGGCCGGCAAGTCGCCGAGGGAGCACTTTGGCTGAGGCGTGGACATGATGCCTATAGAAGCTGAGTGGCCTCGATTCTAGACCACCAAGCACTGCCAAGCACCCAAATGATTTCCACATCCTATCAAAGAGGTGTCTGGGCTCCCCGGCCAACGGCACCGGCGCTGCGGAGGTTTCGAGCGTCCCCCTGAGTCGAGAGTCGAGCCACCAGACCGCCGATCGTCGGTCCGAATGGAGGCTGCTGCGAAAGTAGCGGAACCGCCAACCGCCCTCGTTCGGTCTGTGGTTTGGCAGTGCTTGGCAAGTGGTTCACTATGAACTGAGCATGTATTGAAAGAGGGAAGGCTCCCAGTTCGACCCCCCTGGTACGAAAGCAAATAGACCAAAACCGATTGGTCTCCCTATTGCAATAGACATCCAACTAGAGGTCACAGCTAGTTTGCCTGGCGCTGAGGAGAGCTATGCCAAGAACCTCGAGGCCGTCCATGTGGTGCATCCTTCATGGACCGTGCGCTTCTTGCGCTTGATCTTGTGGCCTTTGGCTTCTGAGGACCGTTTCCCACCGGAGGGGTCCACCCGGTCCAGCGACCGTTCGCAGGCGAGCTGGATCCGGTGCCGGGTGTTGCGTCGGCAAGGTAGACAGTTGTCATAGAAAGATGTGAGTGATGTATGTGGAACTGGCAGCAGAACAAGCAGAAAAAGGAACACAACAAATAGATGTGCAGACATGTGCAGTTCCAGAGTTACGGTCGACAAGTGGCAGAAATAAGTGAGCACTTGCGGAAGAACGTTCATCTTCATACAGTGGTTCCAGACGAACTGGTCGAACTCGGTTCCGCTGCTGTCGAACAGTGGGTTGCAGAAAAACTGTGGTCGACGAGTCGAAGAGCATCAGAAAAACATCGCCAGCTTTGGGAGCATTCTTAGGCCTTTCGCAGCACTTTGACACTGCTTCTTCTTCCCAGTCGACTGCGGTTCCTTTTTCGAGGGTTTGTCGCACCTAGAGCTTTGCCCCGGGAGAGCTCTGGCATGGATTCCCCCCCTTCAGGTTTGGATATCTCAAAGCTGACTTGGGGCATGGAGAGCAGCTGAGCCCCGCCGCAGAAACGGTTAACTAGTAGACCATTTTTTTCTACGTCCAGGTCAAAAAGTTAGGATTTCAAATCACCAAAAAGTTCTATCTCATCATATGAAGCTCATGAAAGAAGATAAAGAAGGTCCTCCATCTTTGGGCCTTTCACTTAGCTCGCCCACCTTCTTTTTTCCTCCCACCCGTTCACCATCCTCTTCGACCCACAACCCGTTCGGCCCACGATCCCCGCCCATCACTCTCCTTCTCTCCTCCGATGAACCCACGGATGGTCCACGGCTTCCGGTCGACGGGTCTGGAGGACTTTTGGGATTACTTCCATTCGCACGAGCGGATTGAGTTCCTGGACGTGGCGCTGGACCTGCGGAAGTTCCGGCTGCCCAAGGCCCGTTCGGGACTGGAGAGGAGGGGGACCACGGCCCGGAGGCGCGTGGTCGGCCGGAAAAAGAGGGGCAGACCGTTGAAACATGCACCAACCAGTCTACCCTTATCATGATTGAAAGCTGCAGGTTTGGTCACATGCTTTGCCACTTTGCCCTGGCCTGGCAGCCAGGACATCGTGGAATACGACCAGTGGCTAGACAAACAGGCAGAAGAGTTGCACAAGCAGCAAGCCATGAAGCACAGCCATGGCGCCTCGCCATGTGGGCCTCGGCCGGGAAGCACAATTGACGGTTCATTTCATGTCCGGATCTTTTGGGTTCTCCAAAGCTTCAACGACGGGGTGGGGGTGCTTCAAACTTGAGGCCCTGATCAAAACGAAGACGAAGGAAACAACCCAGTTCGTCCTTTGTTCTTTGAGAACGAGTGCATGTAAGTCCTCGTCACATGGGGGGGGTTATTCATCAAGAATCTACATGGTCGGGTCCCAAAACAGCCTGGCCAGGAGGGTGCTGCTAGGCAGCTCCGAGGTGGATTTACCTGCCTGGCTTTCAGTGGATGAGCATGTTGTTGTGTGGATGGCCCTGTCGTGCCCAGAGAACGAGCATGACGAGCTCCTGTCACGGCAGGGTTTGCTGTTTCATCCATTGACCTGCAAGGTGGGAGGTCAGTGGGTTGGGGTTTAAAGGGCTGTGTTTGCGGCAGATCATGCACCCAGGCGCCTTCATGGGCTTTGGAAACGCCGGAGCGGAGGAGGAGAGGAAGAAGCTTGAAGAACAGATAGAGGAAATGAAGCGCGTGCTCGAACAGAAGGGGCACAGCATGAAGACCGACTGATCGCGCGCGAGAAACCACCGATCGCGATGTGAGAAAAAGGAGCGCGGAGCTCGGAGGGGTGATTCTTCGCACCTTGGATCAGTGATTCGCATGCCGCATGCCTTTATTTTTCCTTTTGGTGTGTGTTTCGAACATCGGGATGTCAATCTTTGAGCTACAGCACCTTTTCGGTCGAGATGGTGTGCCCTTTCGGTCCGTCCATCCGGGTCTGTTCGACTCTTGTTCAATCCACGGAAGAGGTCGGGGTTGGTGGCAAGAGAGGTTCGATTTGTCGCGATGGAACTTTTTCACCGTTTGGAACCCAGGTGCGGACGAACGCCACACAGCTCCGGACGCACGCAAAAGCTAGCTTCCGAATCCATGGGACCTGGAAGATATGACCTACATTGACCCTGAAAACGTTCGTTCCAGTCTCACCCCAATGGATTGACATCCAGTCCCATGGATTCTGGAGGGCTCGGGACCCGAACAGGGCTCGGGACCCGAACCGGTGCAGGGCGAAGGAAGACGGGGCCGAAACGACGATCGGCCCAACGCAGCCAGGCAGCCAGGACAGCCTCAAGTATCTCAAGTACCCTCCAGGTGCTAACAGGTGAGGGTTGGAAAGGGGCCCCTTTAAACAGGTCGAACCATTGGTGACCTGTAGAATCAACGATATTTGGACCGACTGAAGTAAAGGAGACTCCTGAACTCGGGTCACCTAAAGACCATGCTTTTTATAGTCCTTCACTCCCAGGAGAATTGTACAGAATTGGTCTTTTGAATACCGAATTGGCCCCCCCCCCAATCTCGAGGGATTGCACAGCTGGGCGTGTGCCAGAAGTAATTACTGTTTTCATTCTCTATGTGCCACTGGTGTGTTTGCCTGGAACCCAGACATGACCTCTTGTTTTGATGGGAAAAGATTGGTCCAAGAATAGGTCACTCAAGTTCTAGGTATACAGAGACTGGTTTGATCCCGCAACCCGCCAGATGACTTGTCCCTAGTTGGCCTTGCTCCCTACTCAGCCTGGACCGTGACGACTACAAGCTTTCTCGGGTTTAGCTGGACGTCCAGTCATGACTCATTTTACCTCCTTACAAGTGGTGGATCATGACATATCATGACTACCAGCAGGTGGGGCAAAATGAGTCATACAAACAACACCGCCTGGTCAGAGGATTCAAAGAGCCCCGGTTTTGCCGGGACAGACGACCCGGCCTGTCGGGTGTCGACAGCCGGTGTGCAGGACTTCCGGCTGTCGCCAGTGAGCTTCTTGTGCCACGCCATCTGGCTGGAGCCACTCGAACTTGTGTAGCGGGGGTTTCGTGATGGCTCCAACTCCAAAGGCCAGTCTTGGCAATCCCTTATCTAATCATAGTTATATATCATTTTGGGAATCTAGCCGGCAGTCTTGAGGGGGTCATCTGCTTCGGAACTGTTTCCCGGTCTTCTTCTGGTTCCTGAGAGCCAGCCTCGAGTAGGCAGATGGATCAGCCCAGTCCGGCCTCCGAATGAAGAAAGGAAGGCCAAGAGGACAGACACAGCCCAGTCCGGTCTCCAACGCGTGAAGCAACATGATCAGGTCGCAACGATGATGTGATAGGTCAACTGTGACCTGGCAAGAGTGTTAAGGTACCTTGACGAGGTCTTCCATCGCCAGCACCCTGCTGGAACCATCCGCACACACCATCAACATCAACCCACACCAAACAGAATGTAAACCTCCTCAAAGGCCCCCCCCAAACTAATAAAGCCCTTGGCCGCCCGACCGTCCATCATATTAAAATCACCACCGCTTGGATTGGATTTGGATTCGTTCCACCGTTCCACTCCCCGCAGTTCCGCGTCCCAACAGGACCGACGACTGGGCTTGGATCGTTTCGGACCGGTGCTCAGCGTGGACCGTCCGAGGCTCTGGCTGCGCATCGCCTGGCCGAGCGGCGCCGAGAAGCAGCTCGCGCAGCTGCCGCGGCGCTTCCGACAGGTGGGGATGGGGGGTGGCAGGGGTGCCCGGCCAGAAACTGGGGAGAGTGCAAACTAGAACCCAAGAGAGGTTCTCACTTTTTGGAGGGTTTGAGGGGGCGTTGACCAGCAAAGATGGATTCATCTGACATCATTTGTGTATGGTCCGGGAGTTTGGGAGGATGTGGTCGACTTGCCGACTTCCACCCCCAACTCCGTCTAAGCAGCTGAGACCCAGACGTGGAAAGAGGAGCAAGGTCGATACGTCTCCGTTTTATTTTGCATCGCAGGCGCCCAGTGCCTCGTCTTCCTTGCGCTGTGGGGTGGATTAAACATCTCATACTGATGTATTTTTTTGCAGGAGTCGAGCCGCCATTCATGCAGGAAGTGCACAGGTCAGCTGATTATATAAACATCTCATACTGATGGGCTTTCAAGGAGTCGCCACGAGCCCTTTGGCTGGCCTAGGGCCTAGGCGGCTAACTTGTCAGGCCATGCATGGTCTGGTCGTTGACCCCCCGAAACACCTAAGAACACAAACCCAAACCCATGCTGCTTGTACCTTCATCCCATTTAAAAGTGGCGTCGGAGCAGATGGCACAAACGCAAAGATGTCTGTTATATGGGGGTCCACTCCACTGCTAAACCACCGAACTTGGACATTTGTGCCACCTCTGGCCACCTCCAAAACCACTGTACGACATGTCACCGGCCGGAAAGGTGGCGCGAAGCTCCCGCATCGTCGCCGCCCCAGGTGCTCTTCCTGGATCCCTTCGGTGATGTCTTCTGGGACCCCAACCAGGTGGGGCACCCGGGACCGCGCCCGGCGGTTGGATCGGCGCGGGGCCTCGAAGATCCCAGAGATGGATCGTTGGGGTCCTGGAAAGGGCCTGGCCTGGAACCCATGAAAGAACGGCCGGGTCCTTTAGGTCTCTCCGAGATCCTGAGAACTTCCAACGATATCGATGGTCTTTTCCGTTAAGCCTCTGGTCCTTTCGAACCATGCCGTTCTCGTTCACCCGCGGTGCGGTGCACGGGAACGCCTAGGTCGATGCAGGGAGGTCGCTCTGGGAGGCGCTCAACGCGGAGAAGGACACGGAGCAGACCGCGGCGCTGCACGCGGCCACTGGGACCGGGTGGGGCGGAGGCGAGTGCTGCAGGGAGGAAGGTAGGGCCAGGTAGGGGTTGGGCTCACAAAACACCAGGACTGGAGATGTCAAGCCATTCTAGATTGATCTTGGACTCCATGGCGCTTTGCTCCGTTCCCTTCAGATCCTTCAGCTGCAGCCCCCGAGGCCCACGAAGCCGCCTGTGCCGCCACCTCGCAGCTGACGGTGGCGCAGTGCGCCCTGCGGCGCTGGCAGTCGGTGCGCCCCATGGGATCGAGGCTTGAGGGGTGATGTCAAGTAAGCAACTGTCGCTGGATGTTTGGTGTGGTTTCCAGCTATGCCTGGGATAGCCATTGGCCTCTCAGGTACCCAGCTGGTGTTGCTCCCACGCGCAGCGTGCGGAACTGGCTCGGCTGGAGACCCGACGTGCCAAGTGTGGAGGCCGGCGTCGCTCCCCCGCAGATGTCCAACTCTCGAACTGGGCCCAACAGAGAGATGATTGACATGCACGAGTAGAAAAATCATGGTTTTGCTTAGGGTGATTTTCGTTTGGTCCCTCTGGGTACATTCCCATCTGAGGAAATTCTTACCAGTTCCTGAAGCAATTTCCAGAATTTGCATACCAGCACTACTGGGCGTTGGGTGCTTCGCCCATCCTCTTCAAATCCCTGCGAACAATGGGAAGATCACCTTAGACACAGCATGACACAGCCTATATTTGAGGATTAAGGTACTGTAAGAACAACCCCATAGGCTGTATGATTGACCAGTTTGCATGGATGGCAATTCAAAAATCCTTGGAGGGATTTGTTGGGTGGGTGGAAGACCCTCCAAACGCGACATGCGCGAGTGCTTGCGCGCCGCAGTGAACGTCGGTGAGGTGCCATCAGTAGCGAGCTGGAGAGGTCGGAGGGATGTGGGGTGAATGGTTGCTGGATGGGTTGAGGTCTGGTGAAAGGCAGTGTATGGGTGTGGTGACCTGGTAGTCTGGGTGTGTATGGGCCTGATGACAGATGTCCGTGGTAGCCTGGTAGTCTGTTCCTATTGGATGTTCTATTCAATCTCGGCGAGAAAAAGAACACTTGCCGACGGACTCACTGGGCACTGGATGCATGTTTTTCCGATTCATTTGGGGTGGTTTTGAGTAGCGTGGATTGCAATCGCAAGCGTGGTCAACCAGGATGATCACGTCATTCTCGGGCTTTGTTCTTAGCCTCAATCGTATTCTTCACATGCCCATGTGCCGAAGGGCTCCATTTTTTCGGGTGGTGTGGCGTTCAGGCACTTGGCGCCAGTCATAGACTCTTAGATGAGATGAAATAACCTCTCCAGACTGACAAAGAGGTATTTTTACCATCCGGTTCGGTGGTCCACCAGAGCCTATCCATCCCCCATGGGCTGCACTGGGGGCCGCCCCAGAGAAGCAAGAGTTGTGAACGTCACATGCACGGCCACGTAAGTTGGGGCTCTGGCGGTTGAAAGCGCCATGACGGGGAAGAAGTCGACGAAGCATCCAGCACCTGCGGGCGCGCCGCGATGGTGGAGGACCAGCGCGTGCAAGGGCGTGTGGGGTCTCATGAAAGATGAAACCAGCAAGAGGTATGTTAGATGGTCTTGGTGCTCTTTTCTCAGGGTGATTTTCCTTTTTGTTATGCGAACATGTGGTACGACATGGTATGACTCCCAGTCAACTTCCTAGAGTCACAGCCAAGGGTCTTTCTAAGGGTTTCATAGCCCGGTCCATGTCATGGACACATGCCCACCCAACCACAGTTGGCCTGCTGGCGCAGGGCAGACGGCACCGCCAACCCCGGTCAGAGGCGGCATGTGACATGGCCCAAACCTTGGCATAGTTAGTTGGTTTTTGCTTAGAGTGACCTTTGCTTCCCTATGGGTGAATCCCCTGCTGGGAAAGATGTTTTTCAAACGTCAAATGCAAGTCCTGCGCCAAGAGTGAGCGTAGCGCCAAGCAATGCGCCAAGAGTTGTCATAGCGCCTTTGCATGGGGGTTGCTACATGACCCTGTGGGGTGCAGTGGTGCAGAAGTTGATCGACCGTAGGGCTGCACCAGCCCAGAAGGGTTTCGGGTACATTTTGCACTGATGTTCACATGCGTTTTGGTACAGTTGCTGTTCAAGGAAACTGCCCAAGCCAAGAGACATGCGCTTCCCCAGCTACGCCACAATGTGACAATTCTTCAGCTACGCCAGGAGATATGGCGCCTTTGGGCTCCTGGCTGGGTGACCCAAATGCGAGCCCTTTCTGTTTCGAGCCTCGAAACAGGGGGAAACCGCCGTGCGGGTATGCGGCCTTGAGAACAAGGATTGAGAACGCATGTTCTGTTCGTTACAGTCTGCAAGTCGCTAAATACCCCGCAGCCTGATAGCTGTCACCAGGAGTATTTCATTCTCTATTGAGCTAGTGATGCGAAATACCAAACCAGTAGTGACTAGCGGGGCGTGCTTTCATTGTGTCATGGCACTCTCGATCAGGTGGCAAGCAGAAGTTTAGAGAAAAGTCCATTCGTCCAAGATGGACAAACACGGGGGAAGTTGCTATCTCCGCTTCATTGGCCCTGGTGGTCCGATGGTTCATCACTGGTCTTCTTCCCCCCCGAGACCCCTTTCATCTGGAGTATGTTCCTCCGATTCCTCCGATCAGTTTGGTTTCCCGGCTGAGCCAAGCCTGAATGCCACGTGGGGGGGTCTGAGGTCGCCGCCACCCAAGTCCTGGACTTCGCCGTGCCGCCGGGGCGGCCCAGACGGGGCCGGCGCGGAGCTCGGGGCCAGCGGCCGTGGTTTTGGTGGGCAGCCGTCACGGGCTTGGGCTTCTTCTATAAGGGTGAGGTTGATGGTCGGCAAGTGGGTGAGTTTCAATTTCAATTCTTTTTTCACCGGTTCGCGGGCAGTTGGCAGGGCGTTGGGGATGGAATCGGCGACTGAAGGTCTTGGTATTTGAGCCAAGAGTTCTAAGGGGCCATGTGAGGGTTGCATTGCTTCCGGGCTGCTTCCTTTCCAGTAAGCTTCAAGAAAAAAGGTGGTTTCAGTTTCAGTATGTTGGAATCCCCCTTTCAAGAGCATGTCAGTCAGACATGACTGCATGACAGTGCCACTTGCTTTGAGTTCAGTACCTCCCTGAATTCTTTGCTGGTTCACACTCGGGTAAGGTCAAGACACTTCCGCAGATGTTGACCACTTCAGAAGACTCGCCATGAGTGAAGATCGGGCTCACAACCGCTTCCCCCACGTGAACTTCGCTCCGTATACTTCTGCCTAGGAACTCGAAATACAGCGGCTACAGATACGACATGGCTGAGAAGCAGGACTCTTCTGAACTCGGATCAGGCATTTTTTGCCCCATGTCGCAAGGGCATTCCCCTTTGAGGTGGCAGGCTGCAGCGGAGTTTTTGTTTTAAAAGACTGGTTCAGCTTGTTCAGGGGCTTTTTACTGCGATCTGGGGACAGATACTGTAATCAACAGGACCCAGCCACATTTAAACACCTCTTCTGCAAGGGGGCATGCAATGGGCATGCATAAACATGATTAAACATGCATAAACACACCGGCTGGGGTGGTGTGCTGGGGAAACCTGGCAGATCCAGATGCATACCGGCAGTGCTCAGCCATCGCCGGCAGCTCTGGTGCTGCACTTCCATATCGAAACATGGCGAAGATAAAGGCAGAGAGGATCCCAAGAACACACCCATGAAGCAAAATCTCGGAAAACCCTAAGTCAAACTACATTCTGTGCGTTTCATGTTCAGAGACATCCATCTGGAGTTTATCACGAATCACTCCTTCCCCATCGCCATGCCGCCAGGACGAGACGCAAGCCTTGTCTCGGGATGTGGTGGTGAACGATATTCGGGATTTGAACGAGCTGCTTGGTTGTGGAGCAGGGCTGTTGGATTGGGGAACGGTGACCTAGAAGGACCCCAATTCTGAGCACCCTGTGGTGCTGATCGGTCCCCTTCTGCGGACTTGTTTTCAAGCACCTCAGCAGTGGCAAGCATGGCAAGCACGGAAAACCCTGAACATGAACGATAACCCGGGGTGTTGTGAGTGGCGAGGATCTATCTCTTTGTAAGACCTCTGACCTAAAGACTACCCGACCCAAAATCGGTGTGGAGCATGACCCTGGAGAAGACCGGTTTCTGGTCTTCGACCAATATATTAGCTCTTTTACTTTCACGTCGGTGACTCAGAGGGGGCGATCAACGCTTTTGCCATGCAATAAGTCGGTCCCCGAAGCAGACTCAGTTCGTTACAGTGGCATGTTTCGTTGCTTCAGGACCATAGTTGGCTTTTACCATGGGCTGGTTGATGAATAGAGAGGATACCCCCTGGTCGTGTGCAACTAATAAACCAATAGGTCTATGGTACCAAAGCGACCTCTCTATTATTCCCAAGGGCGGACCTCGTTGTTCAGGACTCCCAGCTTTACTGGTCGGCTGAGGTTGTTGAAGATGCAGGACCCCATCTGCCCCGACGCAACTTGGTGGACAGCAATGAGTGCGGAAAGATGGGCGTAAGGGAACTGAGCTGGAAAGATGTCAAGCGGCAAAACCACCGAACGACACCTCCGTCTCATCGAACGAACCTAGGCCCTAGGCCTGCGATGCACACCACTAGGAAGTTCAGCTTTTTCGTTGAAGATTCCGGAAGCTCCATGGAACCACCCAGCGCAGAGAACCCTCCAACACGTGCGTTTGGGTAACCCCACTTTGGCGGGTTGCATGATGCGAAGTCATGGGCCCAGGATTTTGCTCAAGCATTCGCCAAAGGAAAGGTTGGTAATTCTTGTCAATTCGGTGAAGTTGAGTTGTTCCAACCCCCCCCGAAGTCATGGGTTTGCTTCCCACCCGTCATTCTCCACTTCCACTTCCCGATTTCTGGGCCCCCGACCCCTCCGAACACCTGGACCGAACCCCTATATAAATCCGTTGAGGACAAGATCCTGCTGATGGCCATCACCTTGGACAATGGCACCCGGATTGATCGCCCCACCGCAGAGGACGAAACGAAGACGGAGCTGCTTGCCGGAGCTGTTGGCGTTCCGGAGCTGTCTGGGGCAGACGGGGACGTACGGCACTGGTAGGTTTTGGGTGGGGTTGGTTTTGTCTGGAACTTTTTGGAGCTTTGAGTCATGGGCCATATGGGCCATGGGTTCGTTGGCTTTTTGAATCCTCGAGCTTTCAACTTTTGAGACTTTTGGAGCTTTTGGAGGGATTCATCTCAACGACCGAAGTGACCGAAGGATAGTACGCTCTGCAGGTGGGTTGAAAGCACAAATCAGAGAAGGCCCCTAAGTGAGCCTGCGCCTGCAACACGTGTTTCGCCGGATGATTACTTTTTGGCGGATGCTGAGAATCCAACAACTCAACTGTACCTTCTCCCTGGGTCATGCAATGGCCATCAACATGCAGTGGTCAATCAGTCAATCATCTAGTGTCGACCATCACCGAGTCCCAGAGTTGGGGGGAGTCAACCAGCACAGAATCAGAACCAGCCTAACCAGCCGGGAGTCCTTTGTGCACCCAGTGCGTGGCCGCGCCTTCCGCCCGCGGCCACGCATGCCTGGCGTTTGGCAGGATCTCAAGGTGCTAAAGCCTACGAAGCTTCGACCCGTCGTCTTCCATTGGAAGGATATGGGTGCCTTGGAGGTCGATCTCAGGGCTGTTGCCGTAGTCGTCTTTCTTTTTGGGGCTACTAGGAACTAGGAACAAGAAGCTACTAGTAACAAGGGCATCACTACTAGTAACAAGGACGCTACTAGGAACATCCCACAAGAAGGGAGCCAGCGCGATCTAGTTGGATAAGCTCAGCAGTTCCACGAGGAAACTGACTCATAATGTAGACTTTTGACTATATATTATATAAACCTCCGTACTCCATATAAATGAAG